GTTGTCAAGGAACTGCATCGACCCTGCTGCTTTAGACCCTGCCAACCCAAAGGCATGGTTTATCTGCGTTTCCGAGAGGTTTTTGATCTTTGCGATGGCCGCCACCGCGCCAAAAATGCCGGCGGTGCTCGTGTTATGAAATCCCCGGGGATAGGCACTGTCTCCAAGAGCACGACTAAGCCGGCACACAACTTCGTAGCCTACTGCAAGAGCTGTGAGAAGATCACGGCCGCTGGCACCAGATGCTTCAGCTTGCGCAAGAGCGGCAGGTATAACACTTGCACCTGGGTGACTGGCTCCGACAGCAAGAGTGTCATCAAAATCAAATGAGTGCGCGAAGGCGCCGTTGAGCAGAGCTGCGTTTCGAGTAGAGAAGTTTTTGCCTTTGCCGTAAACAGTGCTCGTGCCGCCACCACCATCGAGGCTCTGAATTGCTGTAAGAAAGGGGTCGCTAGATTCGGCCTTCACAGCGGCACTAGAAGCAACCCCTATATGGTCGAGCAGAAGGTCTTTGAGTTTCAAGATCAGTTCGAGACTTAAATTGCCAAAGCTTGTGTTGACAATAAAAGACGACAGCTCGTCTGTAATGCTTCGGCTTTCTGAGCTGTCACTGTTTGTCATAGACACGCCTGTCTTGACGGGCTTAATATCAGCCTCCAGAGCTTCTAACTCAGGAGGCAGATGAAGCTCTCCGGTCATGATCCGCCGAGCTGTGCGAACGAATGAAAGAGTCTCAAATTCCACACGTTTTGGGTCGTGGATGGGTCTTTTCACTATCACAGCTGCTGGCATGACCCCCAAGGGATGGTGAATATCTAACCTATCCTGTGCTTGATGCTCCTCACTCAATTGCTGGTTTACAATCGAGCCGGGGATACGACTGCAAGCCGCCGTGCATACAGCACCTGTGCCCGCCATCGAGTCGTGACATTTGTTGTCTAGGATAAGGCGAGACTGCAGGTGACCCTTGCCGCTGGGATCTGACGCAACGACAACCACCATTGGCATGAAGGGAGACTGCTCATCTACTTTTGTCCAATCGGTACATCTTCCCAAGATCTGTGCAGCTTTTCCACGCAACTCCTTAAGTCTGGAGATTATGTCTGGGCTGTTCATCTCGGCGGCGCTCTCGCACCCTGAAAGGCCAACATCCTTGGCAGCGGCAAATACGATCAGATTTGCGACGTCACAAATAGTGATAGCCACTTGCCTGCCATCAAGCTCAATTATATCGATTATATTAGAGGTTGGTAGTAAGCCTTTATCACAGGAGGCACCGATTGTCTATGTGAATTAGCTGAATTTCATTTTCAACACAATGCCATAGCGGTTTACCTGGCTGTAATCTAAAAGAATTGGTGCCCCGGTTCCTGGCACTGCTGCAATTGAAAAGTCTCCTGACTCGATGACTTTTCCCGTCTTGGAGTCCACTGGAACATGGGATATCAACATCTTTTGTGTCCCTGTGTTGAAGATCCGGACAATCCGACTAGGAACTCCCTTCACAAGACTCACGCCTGGCCTATTCTCCTCAACCAGATTCTCAGAAAGAGCAAAGGGGCCTACCGCGGCTGAGATATTTCCACAATTGCCTTTATATCCTATAGTATCATCGTTAATACCCACTTGGGCAAACGTGTAGTCAATGTCCGCGTCTTCCCTGCCAGACTTCCGCACAATCGCAACTTTGGATGTGATGACGCGAGAGCCACCCATTCCATCTATCTGGATAGGATCTGGAGTGCCCATCAGCCTCTTGATGAAACGATCACGGCTAGGCCCCGGCGCCGGGATGTCATCTTCATGGAAGAAGACCGCCTTGCTGGAGCCTCCACGATAGTAGACTGCTTTAACAGTTTGAGCCATGGTATCGCGGTGTAATTGGCATGTACAAATCTTCGCAAAAGTTTATAACTCTACATCAGTCAGTGATGATCCTGTGGGCAGCAATTTTAACGCACAGCATACGGGGCGAGATATTTGACCCTGTGGTCTTGGCTTTTCCACCCCGCAGAAGCTAAATGCGGCCATCTGGTCCCAAGGGGCCGGTATGGGGCGACAATTGTGGAGACCGGCGAACTTCGGCAAGCCCGCCCCCTTTGCAGCCTGATCAAGGGGAATGGCATGACCCGATTGTGGCATGTGACCAAGTTCACTATGCATGGTTGCTGATCTAGGCATGCCCAGGCTCTCGGAACCTGGGTCGGCAGGTAGATCCAGTACCCGTGTAGTCCGTAATGTCCGGGGTCCGAATAGGGACCGAGTCTGGGGAAGCAGGTAATCGTTGTTTCTGCTGTCTTCATTGGTTATCGAATGTAGTCGGCCCCCAGTTCAGGTTTGTGAAGTCAAAGTTCGCCGCCCACTCGAAATCTGGAAACGGATCGCCGGGCAAAATCAGCATGTCATTGAACGAGTCCGACATGCCGTATGCAACTCCATCCAGTCCATCTTGGGTACCTCCATTGCTGAGACCTCCTGGGTTTGTCATACGTGTGTTACCTAGTACATATGTCAGTCTGAATGCAAAGTAAAGTATAGAAGATGAGGCTTACCTCTATCTGGCTGATCCGCTGCTTGATCTTGGTATGGGCTTGGCTGTCCTGCGAACTCCTCTCTCCACCACCAAAAGCAGTCAAAGACGATGCTCAGAGACAGCCGACTCCGAATGCGTGTCCTTAAGCTTTGGACCCGGCCATCTGCTTGCCTAAATATGATCTTACTGTTCCAAAGTTGAGTCATGATCGTGGCAGCCCTTGCGCTTATATCGTCACTTTGTAAAGATGCCCGGCGACATAGAAGTATGGCAGAAAAATAAGCCTTCTCCCCTGCTTCAGCATCAATGTGTTGGGATAGTGAGCTACGGCTGATTTTCAGTATCGTGAATGCTGCAAGAGAGATAGTCCGTTCGATGAACACCGGGCATGTTTCGGTTAGTTTGACTCTTTCATCCTCGGCTACCGCAGTCTCAATGAAAGAGCATGCAGCAGAGTAGAGGTGCAACATGCCAGCTTGGTTGGGGTTTTCTGGGTGTTCGAAGAAGTAGTAGGCGAGTAGATGCAATCTATAACTCCATCCATGTAAATGGTCTATATAGGCAGGTCAGTCAAAATGCAAGACTTTAAACTCGCCGTCTGGTAAGCTGACCGATGCTTGTGTGACATTGCCTGAAAGTATCTAGATATTGACTATCAAACAGGCTGATGAGGTGGCTCAGGAAGTTAGGGTGTGGATTTGTGGTAGCATCTTGGATCGCCTTTAGAATAGCAGTTGTAGAAGCTATCATGATGTTGTGCATCTTGCATCGAATTTGAAGCGCTCCAGGAAACACGGAGAGTAATTTATCGTCTTCAGGTCCAACAGTGAACATATTCATCATCAGCATAGGTGGCACGCCTTCTCTGAGACTTGTACTAAAAACTATCAGCCGTCGAGCAGGAAACACGCACTTAATCCGAACTCACCGATGACTGATCATCAAACAGTGTACCCAAAGCTGAGCCCTCGAGACCTTTTGATCATTGCGCGAGTCTAATTTTGTCCGCTCAAAGTCCTGACCGGATCCGATTACATGGAGGCCAATTTGCATTGCAAGGTGGATGGCAGCACCACTCAAAACGTGGCTGACATCTTTGTGCATAGTGTTGATAGGGACAGGCCATACACAAAGCAGCAAGAGGCCTTGGATTGTCTGAATTGGATTTGCTCGACTCTCAAGAGATTTCAAAGCGATAGAGTTGATGCGAGGGGCAAGCTTACTGAGCAGCGTTGGGTCACGCACATAATGTCTGCTCCCGATGAAGATGATGGCCCAGAAGAGGAATGGTGAGAGTTCAAAATACTCATCTGGAGACAGCATGGAGTCGAGAATAGGCAGTATTGGGAAGTAACGCTGAAAGAAGCTGAGCAATGTGATATCAATAGATGTTGACTAAAAAATTTGCGCGAGGCAGGGGATGCCTTACATAGTGAAGCAGTCTCTGATTCTCCAGGCGTCTACCTCATGACCATCGAGAACCTTTGAGGTACATTTATCTATGTCTGAACGAGGTGTGGGAAGGTCGTTGCTTGCGGCAGGTGAAATAACGAAGGGCAAAGCGGCCGGGACACGTGGATTCACAGGAGTTTCCGCAGCAATGATAGAGTGCTGCAGATGTGTGTTCAGAGGAGCAGCGATCTGTGAGCTGGTGCGCGGTTCCTCAGAATCATCGGCCTTCAGTCTGTCCAGTTCTTGCTGAAGTTGAGCCTTGGTCTGGCGTGCACGGGGATTGGCAGCCAAAACACATGCAAGCCCAAGCCGGCGACAGCGAGAGCAGATACCAGGTGGCTCCGCATCACAACGAGACTAACAAGTTGAAACTCGTCAATAGGAATGCGGAAAGAGGAGGAGGAGGAGGAGGAGGAAGAGGAGGAGGATATCATTGTCATTGTTGGGAATGAAGCTCACTTTTTGTTGCCTACATTCTCGACAAGCAACGCGTCTTCTTTCCGGCGCCATTTTTCTCTCGGGCTACGGTTTCATATTCTGGCAATGGTGGTCCTGAAGACCTTGAAGCGGTCACCAGTTTTGATATTCAAAGACCGGAATCACTGGAAGACCAGACCACACATCCATCCGCCAGGTGACCAGCTGAAGAGAGAAAGTTGGAGGAAAAAGTTGGGGAATGTCCACGAGGTTGCTCTAGTGGTGATTGGGTGGGGTAATTAATACCATAGAACCCTCATCACCTGCTAATCCCCCGCATTACTAACATTCAACGCGTATTTGTTGCCCATGGCTGCTACAAATATCTCCACACAGGCCAGCGGAATCTGGCTGCAGCAGCTTAGGTGGAATTTGACGGTCTTGGACGGCCAACAACAAAAAGTTACGCGTACTGTACTGTACCAACCTCATCAGGTCAGCTGAAATGATATTTACCAATATGACACCTTCAAACCACCTTTCAGATGTCTTATTCTACATATACTTGTATATACATGCAAAGTAACGTCTTTGAATCTTACCATTGCAGTGGCTTCGAGGACGAACCACAACTCGAAGTCACTGCCGTTGCTTCTTCATCGCGTTTCGGCTTCGGCTTGCTGCCGCCAGAGCAAAGCGCGTCAAAGATCTGCTTTCCGTACTTGATGAACGCCGGCGTGATGCCTCCAATGTCCAGCAGTTCTTTCTCCATACTACTGAGCTGAAAGGGGAATTCCTGGCCTTCAACAATAATCACATTCTTATCCAAGTCTACATCAATGGAGCTGCCGTCCTTGACTGCCTCGAAGAAGTCAGCTCGGGTCATGGTGATGCCTAGAAGCCCGAGACTCGGCTGATTGCGGCTGTAGATGAAGGCAAAAGACTTGGCAATGACGCATTGTACACCAGTTCCTGGATGTCACGCAGTCAGTCATGCTGTAGCAACACGAAAAGAATGGCGGCGTCGGTATCTTCTTACCAAGTAGGGCTGATACAGCTTGCTCCCGAGACGAGCCGCACCCAAAAGCCTTCCCCGCAACAACCACGTTGAATCCATCCTTGACACGTGCCCTGAAGCTCGGATTCGTGAATTCTAAGCAGTGGGTTCCAAGCTCTTCGTTCGTCTTTGCTTCAATAAGATACTGCGCGGGAGCGAGCTACTCAAGGTTAGCTAATGGATAGGTCACTGTTCCCGACCACCAGCATGCTTACAGCGTCTGTGTCAATGAAGTCTCCCAGTTTTTGCACTTTACCCGAGATCATTCGGTCTCTACCGCCACTGCCTTGCACAGTCTGCTCAGAGTCTGGTGTGGGGACACTGCCAATGCCCGTTGCTTGTGCCTCATTAGGTATAAGTCCCGTGTTATCCACTTCATCAGAAGAGCCACGAGGTGGTTCGACATAATGAGGCTCTGTACTCTTGATAGTTGGAAGTGAACCTCGCCCTTTTAGGCTTTCCCATCTGGCAGGGTCTATCTGGTCAATGAGCTCCCGGGGATCCGCGATGGTCATATTGAAGGAGGAGGCTGCAACGGTTGCAGCTGAAGCGAGATTGCCGATCGACCCTTTGCCCATTCTGTTTTCGAAGTTGCGATTTTGCGAGGAGAGCCAGACTTCTCCCTCTGCCGCTTTATCTGCTGACATTCCCACGCAATAGCTACACCCGGGAATGCCAATCTCGAATCCAGCTTGTTCATATATGGCTGCCAGGCCTGACTTGCGGAGTTTATCGAGGATTGGTCGGGACCCTGGAACCACCTTTCGCTTGCCAGTTCCAACTGGCCTGAGACCAGTCTTCAGACCCTGTTCAAGAACAAGAGCTCCGAGGATAAGGTCTTCCTCTGCAGTTGTGCAAGCACCAATGAAGCAACCATCCAATGAGGTGCCCGCCACTTCGGAGACTGGGACAACGTCATCAGGATTTGGGTATTTTGCCACGAATGACTCCGTCTTTGCCAGGTCAATGACATGCGTTTCCGCATACACGGCATCTTCGTCCGGACGGAAGTACATTGCGGCACTTTTATGTCGAGCAACTTTTCTTGAGCTAACGAAAGAATTGGTAACGCCATCCGGCACGAATACGCCCGTGATACCTCCGAACTCCTACAACTGGTTGTCAGGCTTGTTCGAGATGAAGCTAATAAATTACTTACCGTGGTCATATTGGAGATAGCGAATCGCGCGTCTGGTGATAGATGCTCAAGCCCTGGCCCAGTGTACTCAACGACACGATCCGCAGCGACAGTGTTTCTTTTCAACTGCTGCAGGATGTAGAGTATCACATCCTTGCCACTGACTCCCTTGCCTGGCTTACCCACCAAGCGAATATTGACGCACTCGGGAACTCTGAACCAAATCTCTCCCGTTACAAGAGCCATGGTAACATCGGCAGCGCCCAGCCCAATAGCAAGACATCCCACAGCGCCGGAGGAGCACGTATGCGAGTCAGATCCGATCACAATCATACCTGGCTGCGCTCGCTCGCGATAAAATTCGGTGTGCATAATCGTATACTAAGAGGAAAGTTAGACTCCTTCCAGCATGAGACAAGCGTAGCTCACGTTCATCCCCTGGTACTCCGTCATCTTGAACACCTTCTTAGCTTTTTCGGACGATTCGATTAACTTCGCAATCGTGGGGTGCTTGTTGACCCTGGGATCTACAACATGATCCCCCGCCAACCAAAATCGATCATTGCGAAAGATTCCCGGCTTGCCAAGTTGATCATATGTTTTCTCCATGCCCTGTGCAAAGAGAGCTTTAGTTCAACCGCCCAGGCTTGGGACAAGCAATATCAACTTACACTCCAGGATGCTTCAGAGGCCATTATCCAGTCTACCGATACTCTAATCACGTCGCCAGATTGTACTGAACCTGTTGCTTCGACATTATGCATCTCAAATATCTTCTCCGTGAGCGTCATCGGCCGGCGCCCTGTAGGTCTGACATCGATAGGGAGGCCAGATTGTCGCGACTTGTCTGCAGAGTTCAGAGCTTCCAACCCTTCACTTGATTAGTTCCGACGATAGCCTCGAGGCACCAGGTTCACTCACAAGCACCTATCAGAAATATTACCTCAGATATATCCGCCTCCTCAACTTCTTTCTTGTCTTCTAATCCCAGCCCTCCGTAGTCTTTCGGGGTTCTACATATCTGAACGACATGGTCGAAGACATCTGCTTCTTTGTAATGGCTCGATGACCGAAGCTGTTGGGATATCTCTTTCAATGTATGTACAAGATCATTATTATTCTCAGCTATAGTGACACGTTAATTAGTATCTAGGCCTTTATCAATAGTCGTATGCTTACACAAGGATCCCAGCTCTTTGCGAGCCTCTATATCCCTCACTTGACTCAGAGACTGAGCAAGTTGATCAAAGAGGCCAACTCCACTTGGTCGCATAACGTCTGTTGAACTCATTGTCGTGGTAATAGGTGCTGAACTGCGATATACCGGAACATGTGAATAGTCTTAAAAAGTCGAATAACAAAACTGAACCAAAGACGGGGCTCCGAGCATATGCCACACTTCTTTTAGTGCATAGCTTCATCGAATCATCGACTTAATAAAGCTGCTTTGTCAAACAATCATTACTCCGACGCGTTATGATGCGACATGAGATCTCGTGTCTGCATCCCTACAGGGTATGCTACTCCACCTCCGCAATGACCGGCGAAGGCCGGCGAACTTCGGCAAGACAATCACCCACTTAACATCTTGCCGAAACGGCTCCGAATTTGATGCCCTTTATGACGGTGGTAGAAGCGAGAACAAGCATATGAAGTGCTTCTAGTAACAAGTGTTGGAAGTGCGGTGTAAGCTTAAGTATTGATATTTATCATGAGCGAGACCATAGCAACCAACGGACATGCAGCCGACCATAGCGTCTCGGCGGCCGCCAAGCTACGCTCTCTCTTAGCCAGGCCAAACGAGGTCATCGTATGTCCAGGTGTATACGATGGCTTCACTGCCAGGATTGCGCTTCAAGCAGGCTTTGAGTGCCTCTACATGGTAGGGCTCTAGTTCCTTAAAGTTGTGGCCGGTGGTTTTAACGAGACTCTAGACTGGTGCTGGCACCACCATGTCGAGGCTTGGCATGCCTGACCTTGGAGTGGCCACCTTGAACGACATGCGGGACACAGCTTCTATGATAGCTTCTTTGAATCCGTCAGTGCCCCTTATCGCCGATGCAGATACTGGCTATGGAGGTAATGCCCTTCCTTTTCAATCTCCTCTTGTCATTAAAGCTCCATACTAACCACTTCTAACAGGTCCTCTCATGGTTGGCCGCACTGTTACTCAGTATATGCGTGCTGGTGTTGCAGGTCTTCATTTGGAAGATCAAGTCATCACAAAACGTTGTGGTCATCTCATGAATAAACAGCTGGTACCTGAAGACGAATACCTCTCCCGCATTCAAGCAGCTGTGCTCGCTCGATCCCAGGCTCTAGGGGCCGATATTGTGCTCATAGCTCGCACTGATGCGCTGCAGTCTCTTGGCTATGAAGCAGCTCGAGATCGACTGAAGAAAGCAGTCGAGATCGGGGCCGATGTTGCATTCCTCGAAGGCGTTGGTTCGGAAGCTGAAGCCCGACAGATCTGCAAAGATCTTGCGCCTACACCCGTGTTATTCAACTGCGTTTCAGGAGGCGTGTCCCCCGAGTGGTCGGCTGACGAGGCCCGCGATCTCGGGTTCCGGCTTGTTATTCATCCTGCCTTTGCGCTTGTACCAGTCTATCAAGGGGTCTTGGCGGCTGCAAAGGTGCTGAAGAACACCGGTGCCACGCCTAAGCCAGAGACACGCATGTCACCAAAAGAGTTATTTGAGGTCTGTGGCATGAAAGAGGCGATAGAATTCGACTCAGCCGCTGGAGGCAAGCTATACTCAAACGGAGTTTGAGCAGTCGGGTAGTTGCTTGGACATGTACGGCATCCCGCTCAGTCTTTTACTTGAAGATTCCGCCATTAGACTAGACTAAGATAAGCTCATGTCCAATCATCAGCCAGCAGATTCAAACGCCGAACGTCTTAACTCGTGAACGTACGATGACTATCGTGAGGGAGGCTGCACCTGGATGGGCCCAATGGGGCGGTCTGCCGAAGTTCGCCGGCTGCTAGAGTTTCTCTCCACAAATCCTTGAATTTAGTGCCATCCCCAGACCCGCTACCCCAGGTTAGCTTCTCCCAGCGAATGGGGAAACAGAAAACTTGTAATATTACGCAGACCACGCAGGTCATCAGGGACTATGCAACGACACGCGTGCATGATCTTTGATTCCTTGCGTGGAAGTTAAATACGCTGGGCTTTCTAGCCATTGTACACGGATTCTCCTCACCGAATCCTCAGACCGATACAATCCCTCCGCTAAGATGATTGACTCAGAGAAAGGCTCCATTCCTCAGGATGCCGTGCACGTCGAGGATGACCATGGCCATGCTCCTCTTGTGATAAGTGCAGCAGAAAAGAAGCTTGTACGGAAGCAAGACCTGGTCATAACCTCTTTGATGTCAGGTTGCTTTTTCTTTGCCTATCTAGTATGTTGCAAATTTCCAGGGCTCAGTCGCTGTATCATAAGATCGCTCACACACAGAAAATAGGATCGCGGCGCCATTGGCAATGCTCGTATCATGGGTTTTCAAGAGAGCCTGGGCCTCAGCAACCAACAATACTTCAACGTTCTTATGATGTTTTGTCAGTTATCAGTTACCAAAAATTGCTGTATCTGCATAGCTTTGCTAAATGTAGTTTAGATGTTGGATACATGGTCTTCGAGTTTCCTGCCTTCATGCTCATCCGCCGCTATCACGCACCGACTGTGTACGCTATATCAGTTATAATTTTTGGAGTCGCTGGGCTTTGCACAGCCTATGCCCGCAACTACGCGCAAGCCATCATCTTGCGCCTTATTCTTGGTTGTGGAGAAGCAACAGTTCAGACTTCCTTTACCTTCGTATCACTCTGGTATAGGCGCGAAGAGATGGCTACTCGCTGTGGTAAGAGGCCTCAGCAATATGGGAGAGTATCTAGAGACAATTTGCTGAGGCTATACTAGGTTACGTCTATTGTACTACGCCCGTGGCAGGTGCCATCTCTGGTCTCATCGCCTATGGTGTTACGAAGAATTTGAATCACGCAGGACCAGGTGGGCTCGCTTCATGGCAGTGGCTTTTCATTATTGAAGGAGCACCAACCATTCTCTGGGGTCTTATCGTGTGGGCCTTCTTGCCAAGGCTACCAGAAAAGGAAGTTGAGGCAAAGCGTTCTTTGTTCTTCGGGTCAGAAGACGAGAAACGGCTTATTATAGACCGAACAATTGCTGGTAAGCCTAGAAGTTCGACTTTCAAAGGATGTTCGAGTTAACGCATATGTAATTAGGTCAAAACGTAGCACACGCAAAGGTACAGCTGTTCCAAGTTTGGGTAGCTCTCAGGGATCCCAAGGCCTGGCTCATAGCTATTATTCTGGGTACTCATGCTGTGGCATTGGCTGGTTTCGGGTAAGCTACACCGACTCTTGATTCACGATGATCAATTTCTTACTTTGTATGACAGAGTATTCTTACCATCCTTCATAAGAGAATTTGGATTCTCGGCCCGTAAGACTCCCCTCCCAACCAAATTATAGTTTTCTCCCGCAATTCCACTAATCATAATCTAGTGAAAACACAACTCTACTCGATCATCCCTTACGCTTGCGCCTTTGTCTCGCTTCTTTTCACAGCTTTCACCGCGGACCGCTATCGCAAGCGCGCTCTTCCCCTGCTCATTTTGACATCTGTCGCCATCATTGGCTTTGTTATCATGCTTGCCACCCCAAATGCTGTTGCAGGAATTGTCGGAGCATGTCTCATCTCCGCTGCGGTGTATCCCGGTATTGTCATCGGTGCAGCATGGATCCCTAGCTCGAATGCAGGATACACGAAGCGGGCCACGGCATCATGGATGGCGCAGATCGTGATCCAAACCTTCAGCATCATGTGTACGCAAATCTACAAGAAGCCTCCACGCTACTTCTCAGGTCACGGCACGCTGCTGGGCTTGTTTGTTCTCACATTTTTCTTGATCCTGAGTACATGGGGCTTGATGAAGCATAGCAACAAGAAGAAAGATGAGGCGGCAAAACGCTGGGATGAGCAGGGAGAAACCAATCCAGAGGAGGCCAAAACTTTGGAAGAATTGTGTGATGGACATCCCAATTACAGATATATCTGGTAGAGATGCGTAAGCCTCGCTGCTGGATCTGCTGCGACTTTCAAATATAAATGCAAAAGAACGGCTACAGTAAGAGAAGTAACTAGCGTAATGCAGGACTTCTGCTTTTGTTAAGCTCAGGTAGACACACAAATCACACAATATCGCCTTCGACTGGACCTTTCTCAAGCTCGAGTGTTGCCCCTATCTGAGTGCATCCGTTAGGCACTCAAATTGCATAGCGAAACATAGCCTTGGAGTCACGGTTAGTCAGTGTATGATAAGCATGAGGCAGGAATGATGACTTACATTCTGGCCATCGGAGGCACCCTCGAAAGCCAGGATGTTGCACTCTCGGTTGAGAGCCTCGACTTCTGCCGCAGTCTTGCCCTCCAGGGCTTTGTCTCTCTTCTTATTCTCCATCACATACACTGCCCGGAGTACGAGGGGTAGAAGAAGGTGCAATGAGAACACCACCAAAATTGCTATGACGCCATGGCGATAGCCCGGTGCCTCGCTTGTCTTGAAGGCTTGCGGTCCTAGTATCATCAGCAATCGTAACTCATTTGCTTCATTCCTAGGAGAGGCTTACCGGAAATCTGACCAGCGCAGTAGATCACGAATATCAACCCCGATGCAAAAGTTCTCTTGGTGCTTCCTGCAATATTTGATGCCATCAATCCTAAGTTGATTTGGTAACCGACACTGAAGCTCGAGATAAGCCAGATACCAGCTAGACGACCCCAGCTGTTTGATGTATTCAATTGGTTGATGAGAACAGTACCAATGATGGGTGGGATCTGTGAGACAGACATCACAAACAATCTAGAATTTGGCACCTTGTGTACGACGTAGCCGGCAATGAGACCGAAGCCAGCCTGAAATACACCATATGGCATGTTGAGCAGAGCCACTTGAAGAGATGTAAATCCGAAACCCTTCATAATTAAGCTTTGGAATGTAAGTGCACCACCGCAGAAGGCATTGCAGAATGCAATCAAAGCAATCAGCCAGATCTTGATATCGGTAAAAGCCTCACGGATTTGGGAACGATCTATTTCCTTGGTTTTCGTACCAGCCTTATTGTCCACGACACGTTGTAGAGCTGTAACCTTCTCGTTGTCCGACAACCACCTGCTCGTGGCCGGGTTGTCAGGGACAACGTAAAGAAATACGAGGCCCCAAAGAAAAGTGATGGCACCAAGTATAAGGAAGATATACTTCCACGGACTCAGGGAACCGGTGATATGACCGATGCCAAAGGTAACGATACCATTGATAGTGCTGAAGATGCCAAGGGTTGCAACCCATATAGAAGCTCGCGAAGCCTGTTCCTGTTGGGTATACCAAGTGCTGGTGAGTGTGACAAAGCCGGGAGCAATCGTTGCCTCAAAGGCACCGAGGAAGAATCGACAAGTTGCCAGTCCCGCAAATGAGCTCGTCGATGCAGTGATCATAAGCAAAATGCCCCAAAAAGCAACATTACCGCCAAGAAACTTAGCAATCGGGAAGCGCTGCATCAAAGCAACACCAGGATATTCTGCGAACAAGAAGCCGAAGAAGAAGATGGAGGATGCCCACGAGAACTGTTGGCCGACAAGTTTGTTATCTTGAATAATACCGAAAACAGAAGAGACACTCAATGTGAGTTTGTCAATGAATTGCAGGCCTATCAGAAAGCAATCGTTAGGAATTATTCTCGAAAACAACCTCGTATGCGCTTACCAAACGTGACACAAAGCAATGGGAGCAGATACAAGTCAATCTTCCGTAAGACCTTCTTCGCCGCAACAGGATCGGCTGCTCCACTGGCCAAAGCTTGGACAGCATATTCACCAGCTTCATCATTGATCTTAATTGCTTTTTTCTCCAGCACCTCACCTTCGATATCCATGGGCTGGATATCTTGGGGGGGGCCTGTTTTGTCAGACGTGATTTCAGACATCGTCGCAGGAGCGTCTACGACTCAGAGTAACACAACCGAAAGTACTACTCTCAACCCTTCTGGGCTTGCGGGAGGAGAGGCTCTTGTCTTATCTTCGCCAAAAGGGTCCCGACCGGGCGGCAAATCCTAGAGCCATGCCATTCCCGGGTCAATGGGCCAATCGCTCCACCGTCTGTCGCTGTAGTCCACGTCTTGAAGACCCCAGCATGCATGGGTACGGATAGTAGCATCCGCTCATATCTCTCTAATACTATTAGATGCGCTCGAAATCACCTGAAGACCCGTCGGCTAGAGATCTTCGGCCGGCATAGATAGCGCGGTCAACTCCGGTGTCGCTTACACGGCCGACGCCCGGTCCACCGTCGGCACTCAGCTCTGGACCTGCAATCCTAAGACTTGGGATGCAAGACAATCTTCCGGGTTGCAAGGAATGGCTGAGCGGAAAAGCAGTTGAGTGAAACTCTCATCAATCGATATAAGGCTGAAATACTGGGGTACACAATGGCGGCTGTGACCGAAGATCGCCTCCGGGAATTTTGCCTCTCCTTACCTAAGATTGTCCGAGACACCCACGCCATTTCTGTCGGGCTGCATTCTAACAAGCACCTCAGGAGCTCCATGCACATCTTACAGGATCTGTCTCACGAGAAAGCTTGCATACAATATGGACCAAAGCAAAACAATCCGATCCATCCCTTGATCTAGAAGATCCAGATATTGCATTGAAACAAATATGGCAAACAACCTCGTAAGTTGATCATGGCAATCCACTGTTTCAGACCTGAATACTTATACTGTCTAGCTTCTTTCATATGTTCACCAAATATATTTACAAATTAGTCAGCAATGAAGAAGCTGTTCGGAGTTCTACATTTGATGTCCTGAAGAGCTTTGAGCAAGATGGAGTCATGCACCTTGAGCTTCGAACAACTCCTCGCGCTGGCCCAGGTAATTTCCATCCCCGTACTCAAAAGAACGATGATGCTAAAAGTCAGAGGAGAAATGACGAAAGACGCCTATGTGAAAAAAGTCCTTGATGCGATCACAGATTTCAACAGTTCTTCAAAGACTATGAAAACATGTTTGATCCTCTCCATGGATCGCCGGAATACCTTTGATCAAGCAATGGAGGCTGTCGACTTGGCTATCAAGTACAAGGATTTGGGCGTCGTAGGCGTTGATCTTTGCGGTGACTATAAGGTAAGTTTGGAACCACTGAGGAGTCTATTCTAGTCTGACCCGATCCAACCAGGTGGGAGATGCCCGGATCCTAAAGCCACATTTCGCCAAAGCAAAGGCAGCAGGTCTTCATATCACCATACACTTTGGTGAAACTGCCCATGGCTATTCAGAACTGAATACTTTACTATCCTACGAGCCGGAAAGACTTGGTCACGTAATTTACATCACGCCTGAGATTAAGCAAGAGATCATTCGCAGAAGGTTAGGGGTAGAAATTTGTCTCACAACAAATGTGGTGGGCAAGCACGTCAAGTCCTTCGCAGAACACCACCTGAAAGAGTGGCTGGAGGAAGATTGTCCCATTGCTCTTTGCGTTAGTTTTCAAAGCCCGAGATGTTGTTCTTGATCTCACAGCTGACTTGCAGACAGACTGACGATGTTGGAGTGGTGGAGTCTCCTTCGTCCAATGAGTACTTCCTGGCAGGCAAGCATCTATCACTATCATACGAGAGGTTGTGGAGCATTGCAGTGAGCTCTATTGATAGGTGTTTCGTGGACGACGCGCAGAAGGCCATCTACAAACAGAATCTTGATGACTGGGCTAAGAATATCGGGCAGTCATGGCTACGGGATTCTTCAGTGTTCCAATAGTCTGAGAGTCTCCGAAACCGCTAAGAGTGATAGAGGAGAGGAGGGAAATGAGTCTCTAAAATCGTGTATTTTGAGTCGAGCGACCGCTGTCAGAGCCAGTTGCCCGCCGCTAACACCTTCACCTACATGGCCACAAATTTCAGTGGTGCCAGTGGGATTGTAACCCCTGTCAAACCACATGGATAAGACAGTATTAGCTAGCCTAGTGCTCTAATGTGCTAAACTATCACTGCTAAAGCGTCTCCACTGATAGGGAATACTGACAGATAAGGAAGTGTGTCAGTCGGCCTGTTTCCGATCGGCAGACCGGATTCGGGTCGCGATGCGGGTGACCAAGGCCGCAAATGGTCTCGACAATTCTCGGCCGGGAATTTATCATACTAGACGAATTACTACACGGCATCTGTGTCCAAGCGAAACCATGGCCGATGCGAATATTGACCTGATCCTCTCCAAAGTGGTTGTCTACAAAGACCACCCAGTCCCAGGCCATCGTTTTGTGGATATATTCCCCGTGTTTCGTTCTCCCACCGCAACTAAGGCGCTTATTGACAGCTTCGTGGCGCACATCAAGGCGTCTCACGACATCTCCCAAATTCACGCAATCGTGTGTCTCGAAGCAAGAGGCTGGTTCTTTGCCCCTCTCATAGCGGCTGCTCTGGACCTGCCGTGCATTCCGATCCGCAAGAAGGGGAAACTACCTGGAGCTACGGTCCGCGTGTCTTACAAGAAGGACTACGAGGATGACGTTCTCGAGATGAAAGACGACAGCTTTGCCGGGGTTGGGGAGGGGAGAGGCGATGACGAGAAGATCAGAGTGCTTCTGATGGACGATTTGGTTGCGTTTGGTGGTAGTGCCGAAGCTGGGAAGCGACTTGTTGAGACTCTAGGCGGGGAGGTGGCAGAATGTCTCTTCGTGTTTGAAATACCTCGACTAAGGGACCAAGTCAAGGCCAAAATGGGACCGACAAAAACATGGTCACTAGTTCCTCTGACAGAAGATGTGATGTCGAAATTGAAATGATATTCATATGATTCGCTTCAACGATCGGTAACTGGCAACACTACCAATCTCCGCCGTCGAGTAAAAGGAAGAAACTGGCTCGTATATACAAATATGATCAGCTCACGTTCATCGAAAATATTGAGGATTGTTCAGCCTCGGACGTATAGTTTCGAACTATAAGTTCTAGATGAATTTATTATCACCTACCTAGGTACTTACCTACGAGCCAAGAAGTGTAGTCCACGCACTCACTCACGTCCGCCACACACAAGCATGCGATGAATTTTTCCGCATCACAATAAAGGCTTTCGACCTCGCATCACAAAGATCAAGCAACCTTAGTATCCGAGACGACCATTGAAACGTTGTTAAGGTGAAGCGCATGCAAGTATTAGTAATGTGTGCATTTCTAAGTGCGGCAGTAATGACGTGCTGCAAGCTCGAATCCTGCTGACAAATGGTATCAACACCACCACGAGGCAGCGACTAAGACCACGATCCGATCAAGACTTCATGAATGCAACAAGAGGGACTGAGACAGAATTCCAAACTGATTCATTAATTCAAGAAACATAATGGCTCCCATCCGTATCGGTATCATCGGCTTGTCCTCCTCGGCTGCCACCTCCTGGGCCAGCAACGCGCATCTGCCGTATCTCCTGTCTCCAGGTGGCCAATCCAAATATCAGATCGTAGCACTCTGCAATTCCAGCGTCGATGCGGCGAAAAGGGCTATCGCGCATTATAAGCTTCCCGCGGAGACACGAGCTTTCGGCAGTCCTGCTGATATTGCCGCTGACCCGGATGTCCAGCTAGTCGTGTGCGTGACTCGCGTCGACAAGCATTACGAGACAATCAAGCCCAGCATTGTAGCTGGAAAAGATGTATTCGTCGAATGGCCCCTGGCAGACAACATTGAGCGCATTCGGGAGTTGGCGGCGCTCGCCAAAGAGAAGAATGTTCAGACCACAGTGGGTCTTCAGGGCAGAGTTGCGCCTCCATACCTCAAGATCAAAGAAATCTTAGAGTCGGGTCAGATTGGAAAGGTTCTGAGCAGTGAGCTCAAGGCCTATGGAGGGACCATCAGTCGTGACGTTATACCGACAGGCTTAAAGTACTTCACCGAGAGGAAGGTGGGTGGTAACCCCTTCACCATTGGATTCGGTCATCGTACGTACCCCTATCATCTCCAGGGTATTGCTAAATTTCCTCTAACTGTTGCCTGTAGTTTGGGACCCGACTCAAGTTATTCTCGGGGAGCTCCAGAACATCCAAGCCAATCTTCAGATCCAGAGGCCTTCGGTCAAAGTTCGCGATCCCGCAAGCGGCAACATCATTGAGACCATCCAGTCTGATGTCCCCGACCTCTTCATCGTGAACGGAAAGCTTTCCGGATCAGCCATCACCAAGGAAGGCGCCTCGGCTAGCCTATATTATCGCCGCGGCCAACCGTTCAAAGGCGAGCCGGCTTTCCGATGGTCCATCAACGGCGAGAAGGGCGAGTTGCGGCTTCTATCGCCGGCAGGCCCGTCTCTGAACGCGAGCTCCTACTCACAGCCCGTGACTATCGAGGTCCATGATTTTGAGACGGACGAGGTCACTTCCGAGGAGTGGAAGTGGGGCTCCTGGCAGGAGGAACTGCCCCTTGTGGCCCGGAGCATCGCAGTTTTGTATGAGCTTTTTGCTGCTGGCGATGTTAGCCAATACGTGACCTTTGACGTTGCATTGAAGCGTCATGAGCAGTTGAACTCTATCTTGGAAAAGTTTCCTCCTTCATAAATGAAGAAATAGCGATGATCTCTCGAATCTGACGTGTAATGAAACACGCAGCTTATTACATCAGGGATGACGGCAGCCTGGAACGAGTCAGAACTATAAGCGACTGTCGCTATTCCAGGTCTGTATGTAAGCTTAATCATTTACTAGTGAATGTCACTGCGAAGGGAATTGAACCAAGTGAGTTAGTTGAACTTATTGATTATCATACTACTGGTATCAATGCTTCATGCTACAAAACCGTGCTTTGTCTACCGTGCCCGACTCTATGTCGTCGGGGGTAAAAGCCGGTGACTATGGTCGGCGTACAAAAACGCCTACCCCCCTAGTGTCCCTTAAACGCCCAAGTATTAAATGTATGCAAAGATTACCACCCCAAGACGTTGAAGAGGCTCTTTCGCGGATCCTCCTGAGCCCCCTCAAAAACCCTTTGTCTTGACAATTCGCTTTGTGGGCTCTTGTATTGAGCAAAGAAGCGGTCCATAGTGTTGGACTCGGTTCGCAGTTGTGAGCGGACGTAAGCAGCGACGCCACCAGCTATTGACAAGAATGTTAGTCGACACAGTAGCACTAAGACAATAGCAATAATGCTTACCAGCTCCAAGGAAAACCGTGGCCGGCAGGACCTTTTGGGTAGCGAGAGCGACAACGGGAACCATGATGAAGGTATTGAGTGAGTTGATTAACTCGATTTTTGGATGTTTGCGATGATGAGAGTTTGTGGAGTTGTGAAACTCGTCTCGCTGTGGTAGTTGCGATGAAGGATGCAAGTGTTACTCTTGTGATGAGATGAGCTGGAGTGCATTTCAAGCTGGTGTAACTGCAGCGAATCCATTGAAGCTATATAAACTGCGGGAGCTACCTAAGTCTAACTGAGTTCTACGTGAGCGTACCTGAGGATTCCGAACGGTGGTACGGGCATAGTTCGAGAGAGTGTCGCCCATAGTTCGAGCGTTGCGTGTTTGCAGTGCTGTGGTGGTGTGGTTGCGCCGGGCGGTTGCTCGAGTGTGGCGTGATAGAGCCCAATCTGGCTCCCCCTGTCAATTCCTAACTTCCTCGTCTGACTCGTCGCAGCCCGCCGCACACCAAAGTAGCCCCTTTTCGGGGAAAATCGGGGTATACATAACCCTAACCCTCTGGCATTTTAATAGCTGCTCCCTACGATTTTCTTAGGCCTTCCCCGCGCCGTTGTAGACCATCAGCCATTGGACCATGGCTCGAGCATGGGACACTTCAGCTGGGCCGCTGTCTGACAAAACCTGCCGATTTTTTCGTCACACTGAGCCAGGTGCCCAGATCAGGCCTGGTTCCAGCGAATCCAGCCACCCGGGAACGAGAATGTCTCGAAATGGAGCAGGCCGCAATCGACTCACTGTCAGATTCGTGGCAATGCGTCCCTTTTGCGCTGCCAAATCAGGCATTTTTCTTTGGTCAACCAGTGAGGAGCCGCCCGTCGGCAAATGCTCTCCGTGTTCAGGTCAATCTAAGTAGCGCATCCAGCTCAATTTCCCCGCGGTTTCGGCTTCTGGCAGAGTCTGAGGTTCTTAATTAAGAAGACATGTGATTGACATCTCTATTCTAGCGACAAAGAAACAGAGGATGGTGCATCACCGTGGTACCCAAGATGATTCATCCCTCCTTTGAAAATGTATTGTACAGTAGTCGATTTGTCACAAACTTTCCTCCTTGTTGTGCCTCTGAGCAATGGTTGACTGACTTCTCCATTTGACATTCTACAATCCGCCAAGGGCCAGGCACAAGCTGACGGGTACATGAGCCAACCGAGTCTAAATGACATACTGGAAGTGTGTTAATCATTAGAGCGTCCCTCCGTCTAGACAACAAAGACTTACTGGAATGAAAAGATAAGGGACCCGTCTTTCGTACTCTTTCCATGCCTCGCCATATCTCTCGCGACACCGCAGAATATCACGTCTCGTGCGATGGGCAATCATGACACAGAAGAACACGGGATAGAACCAAGGAAAGGGGCTCCTGGAAACGCAGTTAGGCCTCATATTGACGTTGTCCTCTCCTTTTGAAAGTGCTTGAGGGAACACTTACTTGAAGCCGGTGATGAGACCCCAGCAGATTGCAAAATAGGCATCGCACGCGTAGTGCACCTTGCGCGCCATTCCATACCACCCGTCCACGAGAATGCTGTCGCCCGTGCTGGTCTTGATCGTCCTCGGGTTCTTGACTACCTGCCATGGGAGTTGTGGGAAGCTCTTCCGGGGAATAAGCTGGCCGCGTTCCATCTGTCGGAAGCCGTTTTTCTGGCTATTGCATGTGTCCCACACCCAGTAAACAAAGAGATAGGATAGAAAAAGTGCCGTCAAAGCATAGCTGTTCCATTTGTATTCACTGGGGTGGTGATTGGCCAGATACAGTGCACAGTGACAGTACGAAAATGGGACACCGGCCATGTTCCAGAATGTGAGCATGAAGCCGAGCTTTTCAAAATACATGTCCCTATATTGAAGCTTATTAGTGAGTGATCGAATAATATGAATCTAATATACGTACCAAGAAGTAATGATCAACTGCTCTGCCTTTGCACAAGCATTTGCATAGAGGAAATGTGCCATGATGAGGAAGATACCCTCCCCTGAGACATACCCATATATCTCATACTGACGAGCAGCCATGCCGCAGGTCAAAAGGAAGAGGATGAACCATGGGATTCTAACTTCATAAAACATCTTGAAGTCAAGAATGCCAATTCGTGGGTTCAGCTCGCAGCCCATGAAGAAGTCATAAATCGGGTAGCCTGTCAGTCTATGTGTCCGTCCACGCAAGAAAGCCGATGTATAGTGAATGAAGCTGTTGATGAAGCCTGATATAATAGCCACTGACATGATAGACCCAAATTCGTCAAGTATCGTGTAAAGGGGGAAGAGACCCGTGACATGGAGAGCAGCCACAATCACGATTGTGGCGTAGAAGCTGGTGTATGCAGAGCAAAAGTATCTTAGCTGCTTGCCACCTTCGTGTAGGAGAGGCTTTCCGTAACCGCTGACGCCCGGCATGGCGCAGTAGAACACAGCTTCAACCACGAAGAAGACCCAGTATATTGTCCACGCCTTCGCTGTCGGGAATGCCCCATCTTGCACAAGAGCTAGCAAGTGATGTCCAAAGTCGGCCCAGGTCTGACCATCGGTGGGGAGAGGCAACTTTCCGTCATAATAGGTAGCCCCAATCCACATATACCACATGAGAAGAGGGAACCCAATCATAAGCCCAGCTGCACCGAAGGACCCCCCAAATTCGAAATGATTGGAATCATCGATCTCATGTTTCTTTTGTGAGCCTGCTGATGGGTTCAGATGATAGCTTTTCGCTGTATCAGCACCTTGGGCTTTGGTATCATATAGCACCTCGGTCTCGACGGAGCCAACCCCCCTTTTATATGCCATGATTTCTATTTCCTGGACCTTTGTTGTGATTTCTTACTCGTCTGGGAGCCAAAGATCAAAACCTTGGAGATAGATGACCTATAGGGTGTGATAGATTAGCTTGTGTACTTTATGTGGCCAAGACTCTAATCATAAAAGCATTTTGAAGAGATGGGGACTAGGGAACGGGAAATACCAGCGCGAAGATGGACTTCGTAGCGTCAAAAAGCTGTTACCTAGGATTCCGGGATCGAGTTTTAATGCGCAGTCTTGTTTATTGACAATATCTGAGCTGAACACGACGAGAACCGGGCGATTTATATCAAAGTCGCCATGACCCAAGGGCCGCCGAGATATCACGCTCAGGGCAGGTGGATCTTTACAAATTCCATCGGCGAAGGAACCCACGGGGGCCATCTCGGTGTTGTCGGTATTGGTTTCCCTATTGAAGCTAACACATTATCGTCTATGATTCATCCATATCTCCAACACTAAAACTAGAAAAAGATGAATAAAAATTACGCAGCTTGCTCAGCTTGCCCCTGACACCTTAGAATGGCAGTCCTCACCGAACCGGCCAATCGCTAATCTTCTAAAACCAAAGAAGGCGCTATACCCAAAATAGAATGCGACAACGAACCAATCACATACAGTTACCTCTTGAATATTGAACTCCACTTCAATACCCACACATGAACTTTTCTTTTCTAGGGAACTCATGCCGACTCTCAACGGTCACCTCCATGTTGGCTTCGCCGCAGTCGTTATATTATATCTAATTGCTCCTGGCGTGTTTTGTCTCTAATTATTTATTGTCACAGGCCTCGATGGCCGATCGGTCCGATCCTAGACGGACAACAAAGAAGCAACGGACAAAATGCTTCACCGGCTGCTGGACATGTCGAACTCGTCGCGTCAAGTGTGACGAGGGTCGACCTGCTTGTCGCAAGTGCACGCAATCAGGGCACCAATGCGAGGGCTATGGAGTACGTTTGAACTGGTCTCGGTCCGGCCCAAGAGCATCGAGCCATCGGGACGAAGTCCAGCCAGACAGCCGTAAAACGAGTGTTGTCGACAAGCAGTCAGTCCAGCCAGGTACCCTCTCTCCCAAAACGAATGAGCCAATGGAAGGGATCCAAGACCGTCCCAACGACCTCCGGCATCGCGATGAAACATATGCAACACCTTCAATACCAGCGAGTTCACCTGAAGTGCCGCCAATAATCTACCAAGGCTCGGAACAGCCAACACCCCAATGGTACCGGGGTTCCAGGATGAGAACACCATCAGATAGCCCATTCACAATCGAAAGCGGGTCCGGGTTCTCCGTTGACGATGCCGAGTCAACGACATCCCTGACCTCAATTAGACCGCCTTACCTTACGGACATGGTGACGTCGCCAACCGATTCAGCCCAAACAGACAAGTATTCTCCAAATATTCAGTTAAGCAAGCCCGACACTGTTAGCTCGTCTGACTCGGGTTTCGTTTCTCGGGAAGAGGAGCTGAACTCGTCGCAATGGCCCGGCTCCATGATGCAGGCTGCGCAGCAACCTGCTCCTCGTCACCTTGACTCTCTTGCCGTACCAGCAGAAGAAAGAAGATTGATACATCATTGGGTGACCTACACGAGTGGAAAGCTAGTTTTGCTTGATGGTAAGTCCTCCCAACTGTCTCCGTCTCCCATGAAGACACTAATGACTTAGATTCCAATAATCCCATGCGAGGGTTGATGCTGCCGATGGCGCTGAAAGGTCTCATCTCGGGGTCACACGAATCCAACGCTGGCATATCCATCTTCCACGCAGTGTGTGCATGCTCCGCGTTCAATCTATATGAGCTAGGCGGAGGAGTGTCTGAGAAAGATCGTGCTCTTTTCGTAAAACACGATCACTTAGCTATAACACATCTACGGCACAACCTGGATCGCGTTGATGATTATGTGGATCAAACTTTTGCAATGGCCATCATGGCGTTCTTTGCCGTCGAGGCAATTTCGGGGACGCCGCGTCGATGGAGAGCACATGTCAGTGGAGGTCTCGCCTACCTCAACAGACTGTACTCGCGTGGTACTGACAGAGAAATCCTAAAAGCTTTCCATCAGCACATGGTATCATTGGCCATTATTTGTGGTTGCGATGTCCCTCCTGACCTAAAGACTTTCCTGGATGAAACAGAAGGGCTAGAGCTGTCGTTTCCGTACTACGGTGCCTCAGGCTCATTTCTACGCGCTCATGATCAAATGAACTTATTCTTGGCCTCAAAAACAGTGGTGAACTCGCGGGAGCTGGACTCATTCGAGTTGCAACTGTACCTCAATTTTCCCGCCGCAGTTCAAGAGACACCTGGTAGTGCACAGAGTGCTAGCGCCAGCGCCATCATACATCACATGGCCAAGGCTTTCTACTATGCCAGTCTCGTTTTCTTCCAACGCTGCATACGACAAACTTCGATTGATACGGTTCAGAAGCTGGTGGAGAGTGGCATTGGGGAGCTAGAGGCTATCGAGAAACTGAGCAAAGGAACTGCGGGTTCCATGGTTCTATGGCCACCTTTGATCTTAGCTGCCGAATGCGCCACTCCAGAACTCCAAAGTCGCATGCGTGGATGGTTCCGTGCCAAGCGCAAATTAGGCTTTCGAAATGTGGTTGTTCTAGAAGAGCTCGCCTCGAATCTGTGGTCCCAGCGAAGATCTTCTCAGTCAGATGTCAGTTGGCAAAACCTGATTATCGAAGAGCGCTTCGACGTATTCAGGCTTTGACGTAAACATTCTTCTTGTTCCAACATCAGTGCTCTCGATACTAACATAATCAAAGGCTGATTCATTCCCACTTGGATCGGAGGATTTGAAGGAATAAATAAGGATCGGGAATAATGAATTGAAGGAAGCACTCGAAGCCCGTCCGGTAACAAAATCTACTCATTTATTAAAAAATACAAAATTTCCAAAATCGAACTTAGACAAGTGATCCAGAGACAGTCGAATCCTTGAGTTTCGAAGCATCTGCTGAAACATGTATGCATTTCTGTACAAAGTGAATGCAATTAGTAGTAGGGTGATGTATGCCGAGGGTCCGCCAATGGATGGTCACCGAAGATAAGCATTCTAAAATGCCATGACTACAGGTGATCGACAAGATCGTCGAATAGAGTAATGCCTGTCGCTAGCTGCTTACGGTCCCTTAAGCTTCAATCATTCATTAGACTAACCATTGACGTTCCCTCGTATTTGTTGCCAAGTCGCATCGAAGGCGAGAAGCCGTAGTAAGCATCCCTGAGTACTTGTTGCTTGTTCGTCTCGCCAAGGAACTTTCGGCCGCCTGGCGCACCGCCCGCTCGGCTCCCACAGCTTCCTCCCTGTCCGCTGGGTCAATGAAGAAATGTCACCACAATCTTGATAAAATTATAAAATCCTTCGAAGTTTCTTTCACTGTTTGAATTGATCAGCATGGGCAAACTCCTCCGGTTTGCAAGGCTTTCTTCGTGTGCATCTTTCTCATCATCTACTTGATCGTCATTTTTTGGAACAACGAGTAGGCTTGACAAGCAAACATGAAGCTCATTGCAGTATTAATAGCACTTAGGTGCTTGGTATCGAGTGCGACTGCAGCATGTGCACCATTTTCCGAGGATAATCTACCCGCCAATTATACCACTGATGCCTTCCCATTGCCTGCACCGACAACGAAGCTTGACTTCCGCATTGTGGTGGAGATTAGTGGCCGTCTACCACTGGGACCTGGGCCATTTGGCCAACGCAATTGGGTAGCCATATCCGGAGGAACGTGGGCAGCTACCTGGGGTAAAGGGACCATTGTCGCCGGCGGCCAAGACAACCAGCTCGTCATTGATGACCTCAGTACACCCACCGATACAGCCCTCTTATTGCAGACAGAGGACGCAACTCCAGCTTATATCTCAGTGAAAACATCCGGATGGAGAACTGGGCCAAGGAATGTTTTGGAGAGGCTTGCCAATCCTGCAACGGCGGGCAGTGTGAGGCCTACAGAGTATACGTTCCGGTTATTCGTGCAATTGGAAACTGGGGATCCACGGTACAACGAAACAGTTAATACGGCCATGTGGTTGGGTAGTGCAGCAAAGCTCGGAAATGCTGTTGTGTATGATGCTTATCTCATTGGTTGACGACATCACAAGAGTCGGGTATTTCAAGTTGCTAAAGGGCCAGCGTAAGGTCAATCCAATCAATTGATTCTATACCGTAGTATTGATGCCACCATGCGTGCATTCTGCTCTAGATACTTATCCCATAACGCCCTCGAGGTGTACGCCAGACAACATTAAGACGACTACACCAAGTAGACCCACATGCGTTTACATTCGGTCTTTACATGCAAGCAGCGCCATCAATGCCGAGAACTTTGCCATTGATCCATTCGCCGTCTTGAGATGCTAAGAAGCAGACAACTCTGGCGATGTCGATGGGGAGACCAACACGGTGCAGCGGTGACCAGCCCGCTGCGTATTCATCGACACTGCCATCGTCAAGCTCGGTACCACCGGGGATGTATTCTCGGCAGACGGCGTGGTACATGTCTGTCTTGATGCCACCTGGAGCGACAGCATTGACCGTGATCTTCTTGTCACCGAAGTCTAGCGTAGCCAGTCAGTATTCTGCTCATCAGAACTCGAATGCCGAGAACTCGAGAAAACTCAAGAATGAAACTTCAATAGCAGAAGTGATTTCAACGTACCAATAGCCATGCAGCGGACGAATGTCTCGATTGTGCCCTTTGATCCTGAATAGACCGCATGTTTTGGGACACCCTTCGCCTGGCCTGTGATGGAGCCCATGAGGATTAATCGCCCGCCGACCTCGAGGTGCTTGTAAGCCTCACGGGCAACGAAAAATTGACCGCGAGTGTTGATGTTGAAGACGCGATCAAACTCCTCAGGAGTGACATCCTTAACATGACCAAAAGAGACAACACCGCTGTTGGAGCAGACGATGTTCAGCTTGCCCCACACCTTAACAGCCTCATCGAACATCTCAACGATCTGCTCGACAACTGAGACATTTGCCTTGATCGACACGGCGTCAGAGCCGGCCTTCTTGATAGCAGCGACAACCTCTTCCGCGGACTCGGAGCTGTTGGCATAGTTGACAATAACCTTGGCACCTCGGCGCCCAAGCTCTAGTGCCATCTCTCTGCCGATGCCGCGACCTGGTGATTCATTATTAGTCCGGGGTTTCTTTATTTTCATGCGTGTACTATTGATGCCATGTGGGTTTGGGGAGCATGTGGCGGGTCGTGCAGCACAAAGTCGGACTTCCGCCACCTTGGTCCGGTATTGGCCAAGACGAGATCTGTTTCGCGCTGGATCTTACACTTGCTGCAGATACTGTCACGTGGACTTGTCTCAACTGAAAAAGAAAAGAAAATTGCACGAACCTGCTCCAGTGACCAAGGCGACCTTGCCTTCAAGAGAGGCGGAAGCTAGACCCAAGGGGCCGGGAATTGCATTGTACTTTCCCTGGATGGGACCGTCTTCGGTAAGGCCAGGCATGTTGTAAGCGTTTGAAGAGGCTTCGTAGGTCCGCGACGGTTAAGATGCCGCAAAAGTGTGTTTTTCGCCTGGATCAGTATAAAACTTTGCTGCCATTTCCATTCCAGAGATCGCCCTGCGGTCTCTTGTTTATATAGATGCTTTTCGTGATATTTGCAATTGTACAAGTCATGACTTTTGCCGACACTCTTCCTTCGGACAATGTTGGAGATACCGGACGCACGCCGGGAAGTGGGTAAGCGTTACATCGAAAGCAGCTAGCCTACCATCCCGCATTGCTGAATTCGCCAAGAATGGTGACAGCTAGACTCCCTAACCATCATCTGGCAGGAAGAAGGTGTGACCATGCCGCCGGACATTTGAAAGCAAGGCGTCCGGCGTCGGGACTTCGTTTTCGCTCTAGTCTCAACGCGAGGCCGATGCCAGGCTTGAATACAAAGGGTCGCTACCACCGTGTGCGCCGGCTACGATGTCGACCTATCATAGCGGCATCATCGGTGCTCTCGGCGACCGATCGTTGTCTTTGCCAACGCGAAGGCGCTCCGGAACCCCAAGGTGGAAGGATTAGATCCGGACACAAGCCTTCTGGCGTCGTTTTAGTCAAACTACTACGTCCATTGTGGCCAAACTAGATAAGGCAACGTCTCAAAGTCTCGGACAGGGTTCTTCAAAACCGGCCACTGGTATTCCTGTGTGCAAGGACTTTTGGATCCAGGTTTCTTGCAGGCAATAGAACTGCTACTATTGCGTGGCAGGCGACGTCTAGCATGCGAGGTGCCTCCCGGCTAAACGTATCTAGCCTCGAAGGGAGATGAACTGGAGATTTCCGGACGGATATTGGCCAGTCTACTTTTGTGGCACCTCAGGTTATCAGTGCAACTAATATCTTAGTTCAAAGGCAAGGAATCTGAAAATTTCATTGCCCACTGTCAATATTTCACCCGACGATGGCTCCATGAATAGAATGTGCGGTTTGTCATAAGTTATTTTCTCTAGCCCATGTAATATGCCAAATACACATTTTCAGCAAGCTTTCCAATTATATTTAAAGATCAATCGAACCCATGCTGTCTTCAGCGCTATTTCACGCATTACTCCAGGCAAATGGAAGTAGAGGCTCTCGGTGATTCGGACTTTCGATGATCTTTCAGCGAAGAGGGTGCCTACACCCAGGGTGTGGAGACTTGCCAAACAGGTAATAGTAACAAATCCAGAGCACAATACTGATTATTGACATTCTTAAGCAAATCACGCGCTCAAGCCCAAAAGAGCTGTACTGTGGGCGTAGCATGGTTCAGGACACATCATGCAAATTACACCGTATGCATAACTTCTGCTTACGTCGTTAGTACTGACTATTCGGACATGAAGACATCAAGACCAATTACTTTCGCTTTGACCTCTTTGTACAAGTGCAGCTCTTCGTTAGGCGTTTGAAAAGGAGATTCATGGGTGATCATTGAATCATGCCCTCGTGGCTTTTCCAATAGATCGAAAGCCAATGCCGGTGGTCTGTTACGGGTAGTTGAATAACTATTCGAAAACCATGTCTTTTGGGTTTTCTGAGGAAAATTCATTAGGCAAAAGGCGGGATACTGCCTTGACTCAATTTTGTACAGAGCCATCACGAGGTTAAACTTGAATGCTTGGGTTATTGGGTCTTCCGTGAATTCAAACTTCAGTATTGGTTCGTCCTCTACACCACAGATAACGTGCCATTTTAACTTCGAGATGCCACCTTGCACACAGGCTCCACCAGGTCAACGATTCCGCCGGCCATGCAACCTTGGCGACTTTGTTCACACTCATCGACTCCTTCTAAATCCGCGGACTGTTCTTCAAAGGGTCGGCTACCAAGTCTACACTAATTCTTCGACTCCGGTGCCGTTCCTGGAGTATCTACGTTCCTTTTCCATGAGATAGTTGCAAATTTTGCTGCTAACATGACGCTATCAAGCGTGATAGGCACTTTCTTCTCGGCAGCCACCGCTTGTGAGATGCTTACAATGTTTTTGATTTGTCGGCCATTCAACTCCAGCTGTGCCAGTCTTCCGACATCTCCTTGTTCGAGGCTCACTTCTGTCGTGGAATCTATCTTGACCCTGAAAAGGAATGTCTTCCAGATCGACTCGCGCGCCTCGGCGTCGAGGATTTCGTACTTGAAACAGAAGTGGATGCGACTTTGAAAAGCTTCGTCACAGCTTCCAAGCCGATTTGTCGTGAGGAGTAGGATCCCCTGATAGTATTTCAGGTGGCGGAGGAAGATCGACGTAACGGCGTTCCCTGACAGACTATCGTCGTGGAGTTCAGCAAGAAATACGTCTGCCTCGTCAAGAAGTACTACCGCCTTCCAAGTCTCTGCTAGCTCCATTACAATCGTCAGCCCATCCTGAACCGATGACGAAGTTTCGCCCAGCTCCCCGGAACTTATCATGTACAGGGGACGGTGTGCAATTTCTGCTACTGTTTCTGCCGTGAGCGTCTTTCCCACGCCGGGAGGTCCGGCGAGGAGCCCAATCAGCCCCTTGCCCTTGTCACGGACAAAGTCGTCGAAGCCGCCTTGATCATCCTTCGTGCCGTGATATCGGATCAAGTTTCGGATGAAATCTTTGCGCTCCGGGTCGAGTACAGGGGAGTCGACCAGACTCTCGTTCCAGGTAACCTGATCCAGCCTGGATACGGCAAACGCACCTGCGTGTGGTTAACAAAGTAAGGACAGCAAAAGGTCGACTTCCGTTAGAGAATATCGCACCCCATATTTTGTCTCCTAGAGTAAACCCGTACGCCAGAGGATTAAGAAGCATCTTTTGATTCTCGGTGAGGTCTGTTTCGACTAGCGGGGTGTGTATTACTGGAACGATCGCATTGTTCGGGACGATCTGATCAAAGGTGACAGGATCAATCATAACACGACCATGAGACTGTCGGACTACTTAGCGCTTCACCGCCAATATTCAAGATAGTCGCAAGGGGAAAGAGCAAGCGACATTACAGGCGTAGATTGCGTCTCACAATAAACTTTGATATCTTTTCATTTCCCTCAAGGGCGTGGCCTTTGTATTCCTGTAGGTGTCGGCCTTTTAGGCTCAACACCTTATTTCCTGTAGCAATCAGCTGCTTTTGAGCTTTAGCACATCTGTGATGTAGATGCAAGGGGATATATGGGAGATCATAAAATTCAGGGGATATATGGGAGATCATAAAATTGACTTGGTGCCCGAGAACTCTGGGACGGCGGTCAAGGGTCGGCTTCGCATATGTCCGAGTTGCTCGCCATCCGAATCCAAGTAGTCTGCCGTCAGGGCAAAGAAGGCCGATCCGGAATTCCACCAGACCTCAGCCTGGTTGACTCAGGTCAGCCTCATATCTCAGCAACCCCGAAACGGAGACTTCTGATTTCCAAGAGATTCCTGATATATCGCCCGCCGAGGAATCATGGAGCGAAGAATTATCCAGCGTGGATGATCCTTCAAGCGACAGAATAACGAGTCAAGATTTGGGAGAATCTGACGACCCAGACATCGAAAATTACCGAGGCGCAGAATCCCAAGTCTCAATAGACAATGAATCCGATACTGAGTCTTCCCTCAGTGTCGGATCTGACGATAGCCTAGATGCTTGCCGCTCCGAATCATCATCCTCTCTAAGCATGTCTCGTGTCCTGGACAATGCCCTCTCTCTATCCTCTACCGGCGACTCCGAGACTGATAGTGACGTATTGGCCGACGATGTACTGGGTGCGGAGCCTGCTACTGTGATCATTGGACCGCGATATGGCCACAACCCAGGCCCTCCTATCGGCTTATACGTGACTGAAGGGGATCTTGGTGGCTGGATGGACCTTGAGGAGAAGGGGAAAAAAGATGGCGCTGTCTACGCGCCCCAGAAGACGCTGGAAGGGCAATCCGAAGAGCTGTTTGACGAAACCCAGGATTGCATTCTCATTCCCTTTGATGGTTATTGATTAAAGAAAACTCCTTTGTTCTATGTGGCGTCCGGTCTCCATGATTTAGATACTAATACCAACAAGTGTCTCAACGTCTTCTCGAACGCAAAATAAAATGACTAAAATAAAACCAGAGATCCTCATCCCTGAAGGCAGGTGTGGCAAACGAGTTATCTAGGCCTACTTTCCGAAGCGAGATTTTCTCCAATGTACAGTCTTGTATCATTAGGTAGTCATGTAACACCTTGCACTACTTGTGGGGACCTCAAAACGGTCTTCCGAACTATGCCTACGGTCTAGTTTGAGGACCCCACGAGGAAGTCCAAGCTGGCCACATCAAACTACCGTGGATAAACAATCTGAGACCTAACTTGTCTAAGCAGACAACTAAGAGGACATTTATTCCTGATCCCCTGGCATGTTAGCTCTGGAGAGCAGGTTTCTCCGCCACAGCCAACCGACCGTATCTACGCGCCCCGCCAAGATCAGGCAGCATTATAAGCAATTGACTTACGGCCTCCATCTATATCTTATTATACAACTCAGCCTCTGCATTTTTTTCTCTGCCGCGACCTGATGTCTGCATAGACATACCTCAACTTATATCAGGCTAGGTTATCACCTACCATACTCCACCATGAGGCTATTTCTCCTGTGCAATCTAGCTCTTTATATTGCCCTGGCAGCCACCTATACTCTCAAAGATTACGACTTTCAACGGGATCTAGCTCATGTCGCAGTAATGTCTAGACCAGACCATAATCCTCTCAAAATTCCCGGACATAACAATGCCACGTACGGCCCGATTCCCAAAACAGACCAATTGTTTCAAATCGAAATGCTTGAGATTGCACCGTCACCCATCCCAGTGTATGGTCCAGTACTTCCATTCCTCCCACTAATCCCTTCTGTCCTATCCCTCTTCGTGTTTAAACATTGACACGATAGACAGCAATCAAGTCTTCTTCATCCTCCTTTCCGGCTACATGCCCGAAGGCGAGGAGGAGAACTCAGAGCAATGCGATCGCCTCACTGCCGTAACTCTCAGTATGACGGCTTCTGTAGTCTACCCGGAAGAGACAAGGGAGGACCCCAAGACTTACACGATACCTCTGCGTACCACCGCATTCCGTGCAGCCCATCTTTCTATTCGCAATGCCACAGGCGCATATGTAGACCACATAAGCGGTACCGGGGCTTGGGAGATTATAACGGACTTCTGGATTCCGGGCATTTTCCTGCGAACGGGGATGTGGACATTTGAGATCGTGGCTAAGCTTGGAGATGGGAGTTGCCTCTTTGCAGCATCATTGACGCAATGGTTAGAGCACAGCAACCTCTAGGAAGGGAGTTATATTGAATGCAGAGCCGATCTGGGCGCGGGAATGCTTTTGCGGTCTTTTCAAGTGTGCCTCTCCTGACATGCCCTCTTTCGTCTATTGGATCTTGATTTGGGGCATCCCACGTTCTAGGCTACTTCGCACTTTACATAACATCTCCAAAGCCTCCTTCCAATGTACTCCTCTGCCAAGGTAATAAACGTCAATGCTTGAAGGGTAAGGATACTCAATATTGAGAGTCGTAATACTTATCAAGCTCTAAAATATTCTGTTTATTACTATGGGTCTATCATCTCTATAAAGGTAGTAACCTCTTGTTGAGGAGGTAGTAATACCCTTGCCAAACTAACAATTATTACCCTGCTGGAGGGGTATGATAAAATCTCGCCATGCCTATTAGAGCAAGATCAATTCAACGTGGGGTTCGCTGGCCTTGGTTCCAATTTGAATTCACTTAGAATAGGCTGCGAAGGATTGTAAGACCCAAGCCATTTCAAGAATGATAGCGAATGAAACTGCCGCTAAAAGTAGGAGGAATATACTGAGGATCAATAATACTTGCGATTGGAGCGTTTGCTTCTTCAACCACCAAGCTGACGTAGGAAGTCAAACTTTCACTACACAGAATTCCACAGACAAAGTACGCGAGATGGCAGCCTTCACTGCTGGCCTTGTGCCAGCGGCGTATCTCATTATCTTCTCTATAACACTTGTCTGTGCTCCCAAAACATTGTTGCTCGCACGACTGGGTGCTGCGGCAGCTATGGCTGCTCTTCTGAATGCCTTTTGCGTCAACCAAGTCTCGAGTATTCATAGTCCGGCTCAGCGTGCTCCTCTACTGACGATGCTCTGGGTCAGCTATCTGAGCGCAGCTGAGTTCCTTTTACTCTCGCGTGTTGACGCTACAGACTTGGCAGACTTGTCAAAGAAAGGCAATGACACTCAGAGCTCCGGGACTGCGTCCCTTTGCTGGAGCGCTATGTGTCTCTATTTCAACTTCCGGCGCTCGAGAACGCGGTGGGCGGTGAGGAACATTCCGAGGCAAAAGCCGCAGAGTTCGACGCATTTTGTGGCGACAAATGCACCGTTATGGATAGCCGGGTATTTGGTGATGAACTTGATCGATCTCGGGCCCCTACCAGAAGCTCATCTTGTTGCAGAGGAAAAGCAGACACTTCTGCACGTTTGGGAGCTCTCAGCGGAAGATATCATTTTCCGTTTGGTATCCTGCATCATGTTTTGGTCTGCAACCTTGCTCTTGATCTGGCTCTCATACTACTCTGGCGCCGTCGTAACGGTGATCTTGGGGATAAGCAGCCCAGCAGACTGGCCACCACTATTCGGACCAATTGGATCTGCTAGCACACTGAGTGGATTCTGGGGGTAAATACAGACGATGATCTCTTTTTGGACAATAGCTGACCATAGCAGGACCTTCTGGCATCAGAGTTTACGAGCGACACTAGTCGGCTGGGCAGATGCAGTGCTAGACCTTCTGGGAATAAGCCGGAGTACCTCGATCCGAAGATATACACGCATGTTCCTGGTGTTCGCCCAGTCTGGCATACTCCATCACCTGACCGATGTGGCTATGGGGTTGGGACATGGCCAGATGGCTGCGACAACCTTCTTTTTACTCCAGCCACTGGGAATCTTTGCAGAGACGCTGGTACAAGCTGCCACCGCAAACGTTCCTATCCCGACACGCGTTCGTAGATTCATTGGATTTGTCTGGGTGTTAGCATTCTTCTGGTGGTCGACTGTGGTGTTATTCTACCCATCGGCTCGACTAGGTTCGGTAGGAAAGATATCGCCGATCATGCTGATACCGTCATGACAAAAGTCTCTTCACCATACGATGCTATGGATGGCTAATATGGAATCATCCTATAGATTAGAATGGTTCCGAGTATTTTACTCTGACCTATGAGCTATGACTTAAAAAGATTAGATGATGAGTAACTGTGCTAAATAATATCTAACTTCGCAAGTCAAAGAACACAATCGAGCTGGGTAGCAGATTGTGAGTTTCAAGTGCAGACAATATAGTCCTGTGGGTTAAAATATTCGAATAATCGATCTCATTTGTCTGCCTAGTATACCTGCTAGACATACGGTGACTGATTCTGAGTTAATGACATATTGAGGTAGGAAACTTGAGGTCATAATGCGAGAAAAGCTTGAGAGTATATGTATTATATCAATAACACTATCCTCGAACAGAGCTTAGCTGAAGGCTTGTGAAGCTCATGATCTGGATATCGAGTCGATCATGCACGCCACAAGAGGGGTTTACCCACATCCCGCAGTTGGGGAGCCATGGACTTGGAACTCCAAATGGTGGGGTGATTGAACATGATGAAAGAGGCCTTGTCTTTTAGTCTTGGCAAGGATGGTCAAAGAACAATCTCACTGTGTCATCGCTTTCTGAGAACGGTACGAACCGCGCTTGGTGATTCGTCCCCGCTCGGAGCCCAGTTTACTGTCCGAGTGGGATATATCGACATGAGGGGCCGAACTTGAAAGCGACAAATAGTTAGATAGAGATGTAGAAGTTTGAGAGATCAAGCTAGGATCAAAATCCAGTTATTATTTATCATCTCTCAATATGGCGTCGTTTGATGAGACCATAGAAAAGGCCGTTGAAGACCGCCTCATTCCCGGCGTAGTCCTCCTAGCCAAAGACAAATCCGGTTCGCATTCCACTACATTCCACTCAACTGTCTAGATATTCCTACTGACACCCATCCAGGCAAGCTAGACTATGCGCGTGCCATCGGCAGGAGGTCTCTCAGGCCGGGGGAGGAGGATCCGATGGAGCTGAACAGCGTCTTCACGCTTATGTCCATGACGAAGCTCGTCACCTGCGTCGGAGTAATGCAAGTCGTCGAGCGGGGCCTCATCAAGCTCGACGACGACGTCGCGTCCATCTTGCCCGTCCTCGCTGAGCAGCAAGTGCTGCACGGCTTCGACGACGAGGGCAAGCCGATCCTCAAGCCTCGCCAGGGGACCATCACGCTCCGGCACCTCCTCACCCACTCGTACGGCCAGGCATATCCCTTTCTCGACGCGAAGACAGCGCGTTACTTCGAGCAGACAGGCCGTCCGTTGTTCGGCAACAGCAAGACGGTCGAGGAGGCATTCAACTACCCGCTGCTGTTTGAGCCGGGCGACGGCTTCCAGTACAGCCCCGGCGTAGACTGGGCGGGTCGGATCGTGGAGGAGCTGACGGGCACGAAGTTCGAGGATTGGATGAAGGAGCACATCCTGAAGCCGCTGGGTATCAGCGCACTGACCTTCTTCCCGGAGCATCACCCGGAGCTGCTGAGCCGGCTGGTGCCGCTGGCGCTGCGCGACGCGCAGAGTGGCAAGATCGTGGCGAACCCGGCGCCGGCGGCCAGCCTGACGGTCAAGGAGGCGTTTGGCGGCTCGGGGTTGTTTGCAGACATGCGGGAGTACTTTGCGGTGATGGAGTCACTACTGAAGGACGACGAGAAGCTGTTGAAGAAGGAGACCACCGACCTCATGTTTCAACCGCACCTGTCGCCCGTGAGCAAGAAGGCTTGCATCGAGGAGTTCAAGGGCGCGGACTGGGCCGTTGGGCACTTCCCGCCTACGGGCGAGTACGACTGGGGTCTGGCTGGCCTGCTGACGGACGGGGACAGCCATGAGCTCAGGAAGAAGGGGTTCCAGCAATGGAGCGGCATGTATAATCTGTCTTGGGTGAGTTTTACATTGTGACGCTTGGGAGACATACTAACAAGATGACAGTTCATCGATCGGACAGCGGGTGTAGCGGGGGTATTTGCTACGCAATTCATGCCATTCGGGGACAAGAAGGCAAAAGAATTCTTGAAGCTCTTCGAGGAAGAGGTATACAGGAGAGCGAAGGAGTCTGGATGACTGAAGAAATCACCACGATGAGAAGGGAAGGTGGAGGATGGTGGGCTCTCGTTACATCGGAAGGCGGCTTGTGCTGTGTTCACAAAATTCACACAACGTACCATAATCAAGTCATGTACAAGGGCTCGTATATTCCATTCCATCCTCGACTTCATGAACACATGGAAGCCCTGCAGAAGAACCTTATATAACATGGTGTACAAAATGTACAGTCAAGAAAGATCCCACGCAATAACTGACCACTCCGGCGCTAAATATGAGGGAACAGTTGCAAAAATGCGTTGTGCCTTTTCGAGTGATGTGATGGGGTAGTAGTAGTAGAAGAGAGCAATTCGAAATCTGATCAAACGCCATGCAGCTAGAATAAGGAAAAGGGGTATATGCCCTCCTCTCATCCGCTTTCCCACCCTAGCATCCAAGATGAGCCGTTCACACTGGCTCAGCTTCTGCCGATGGTGAAGCCTCCCCGGCCTCTCCTTCACCGACGGGATTCTCGGGTATCATCCCGTTTTGCCTTTCCCATACTTCTCTCCGAATTCTATCATCTTTGGCCTTTCTGGCCCGTTCAACCTCTTCGAAGCCACCTGATTTCTTGAGCTTGCCCTCTTCGACAAATGTCGTAAGCTCCTTCTTAAGCGGATTATCGCGACGAGTCTCGAGCTCCTTTTGCCTCAGCTTCTCTGCGCGTTCAATTGCTTCTAGACGGTTTTCGTGATTCGGTTGCAGTGCGCGCACTTGACCAAGCACGCCTTCCTTTGCGGCATTGGGATCCACAGCGGCATTGGCAGCAATATTGTCGAGGCCACGAGAGAAGAGACGTCCGGTCAGGCCAGCAGGACCATTGGTGCCAGTAGTAGCACCTGCGTCTTTCATTTGTTCCTTGGTTGCCTGCTCAACCAACGCAAATGTCTCGGTGGCCTTCTCCAAATCATCTTGGAGATCCACCATCAGGTCCTCCATCAGTCTCAATTCGTCGCGGCCCTGGCAGACATCTTCAAGCTCTTTCTCCCAGATCTTAGTCCAGACAGGCTTCTCCTTCTTCATGTAGTCATCCATCTTCTTCAACTCCTTCATCGCCAGTTGGATATCCTTGGCCACAGTCTCCAGCTGGCGCGGTCGTGGTCGCACACCTCTGTGAACGACATCCTTGCGCAGGTCCTCTACCATGTCTTGGAGATCATCCACCTTGGTGACAAGGCGGTCAGAGTCGGTATTCAGCTGCTTGCGACCCTTGGCGACGTAGGCGTGGCCGGTGTCGCCATCGACATCAGGAATAGAAACCTTGGCTGCGGATACCTTCACATTGTTTGCCTTGTTGCGAAGCATAGTCATAGAACCTTGAATCTCAGACTGGAAGTTGGAATATGTCTGGCGTAGAACAGCGAGATCACGGCGCAAGGTCTGTATCTCAGACATCTGCCCAGGCTTGAGCTTTCGCACCGGTCCAAGGGTAGTTGAGCGCGGTGAATCAGCAGGCGGCGTCGGGGGGGCGGCAGCCAGGCGGGCCATTTCCTTTGCAGCTTCTTGCTGTCGATCTGAAACACGCTGCAGAGCGGCCCCCTGGTCGTCGACATTCTGCTTGACTTCCTCAATGACTTTCTTGATCGAGCCAAGCCCTTCATCAATATGTCTCTTCACCTCATCCAATGCCTCAATATTGAGAACCAGCACGGTTCGATCCTTGATGTCGGACAGGTCTTCGAGCTCGTGGCGTACACCAGAGATAGGGTCTTGGATGTAAATCTCCGGTAGATCAGAGCCATTGGCATGCGTGTTCCAGGAGAACTTTTCGATAAAAGCGAGTTGTAATCGACCGATCGAGAGCTCACTGTATCCTTCGGGAAGAACAAACTTCTTGACCTTGGATTTGTATTGTAGAAAGAGCGTCAGCTCTTTTGTTGGCATTGGTGGAGAGGCTTCGAGCATGAAGGTGCCCTCTCGCTTTTCGGGTGGAGGGGGTTCTTCAACAGCGGTCTTCGGCTCCGGCTCCGGCGCAGGTTTGGCTTCTGCCTCATCCTCCGCCATGCCCATGATTGGAAACTCATCTGTCGGAGGGCCTTTCAATGTCGCGCTGGGCTTGGGATATTTGTCTTCGGGTGTTTGAACTGTTGGGCTCTCTGGCGCAGCAAGCTCTGCAACTTCCTTCTCTTCATTGACGCGACTCGGAACTCGTACAGGTGAAGAGTCAAGAGCACCGGAACGCGACAGGCTCGAGTTGTTTCGGTTGTGACGCAGCGTCTCTCTCACTTGCACAGCGCGCATAGACTCTCTCACCTCACCTCTCCCTCTGTTCGGGATGGGGGTATTTTGCGGTGGGAGCATCGGAACTCCATTGGCGCCGCTACCCAAGTGTTTCGAAATTTGATAGGCAGAATATCTTCGGGATGCTCGTCTTTCAAGGTCTCCTCCTCTTTGTAGAGCCGCCAAGGCGCTTTGACCGGACCCCTTTGGTGGAGGCGGCGGCGGAGGGAAGCTGTCGAGGTTGGAGAGGTCGCCAGCAGACGGGCCGGATGGGATCGTTGCATCGTCTCCGGGGTATGGCGGCATTACTGGCATATTCTGCAAGGTATTACTAGACAGGCTCGACTGCTCTGAGTTGATAGAGCCCTGCGACTGGTCTCTTTGCGCGGTGTATTTGCGGCTCGGAGAACTGCTGGGTCGTCCTGTCGATTCATCTGGCCGAAGGTCTGGACGGTATCCATTATCTAAACCTTCGTTGATCAGATTGGTCAATCCCGAGCTAACACTCCCCGTCGTACTGGTGCTCGTCGTGCGTCCGACGTTGGGCTCACCAGCAACTCCATTGTCTTTCTCGCGGGCCTGTTTCTGGCGCAGCTTTTGTTGTTTACGTTTCAGGCCGTGCAGCAGGTTGATGATGATGTCTCGTATTCGGGGCAGGTATTTCTCGAGGCTCTCGACGCTCGCTTCCTGGCTGAGGGTGGCTTCTAGGATGTTTCTCAACAGTTCCGGAACGTTGCCCAGGTCGGAGGTGTCGACGTTGATGGCCGTGAAGGCCCTGCATGCCATGTTGAACTCATACCCCAATCTCACGTACACATCCGACACCTGGGTGTCTGTGGCTTGGCCGCGGGACCATTGTGTCAGCGTCTCCAGCAGCTGCTTTGTAGCGACGAGGAGGTGGGTGACGCTCTTTTCGATCTGGGAGAGAGGAACGGCGGAGTTGCTCGAGGTCTTGGGCATGGCAGGCGAATGTCAGCAAGAGGATCCAGATTTTGAAGAGAAGCCCAGCATCAAATACGACAACAGGGTGAGGTGTGGGAAGAAGAGACAGGTGAGAAAATAAGTAGGACATGTGGTTTGGGGGTGTTTCAAGCAGAGGATCGCATGCATGAAGTCGCGGGCCAGATTGGGAAGCATGACAAAACGTGAACGTACATTTGGCCGCCTTGTGCTGCCGCTGGTGCGGTCGGTACTTTGCGCGGATCTTGTCGAGGCCGTCGAGGAGCGCGGAGCCACCTGGCCAGCGATGCCTACAGCAGGCGAGATGGAGCGGACGGGGATATTGGGAGGCGGGCCTGGCTCTGCGCCTGGCGACCGTCGTTGAAGCGATCGTGATGGCCCTGAAGCCTGCATTTTGCGCAGGGCGAATCCCTCGGGCTCAGCGCTGGGCACTCCGCCTCGGATCCGCGCCTCTGCTGCAATTCCTAGACCGGCTTGGGTGGTTTCAGAGCTCGTAGATCGGAAAAGGGCTTCGATCGATGAGATGCTGGGTTATCTGAAGCTATTGCGAGGATGTCTCAGTCGTCGCAGAGAAGGAAAGGGCGATCTGAAGCTGGGGATTCGACGATGAAGAAACAGACAATGATGATGGTTGGTTGTGGTGGTGGTGGTGGTGGTGGTGCTGCTGCTCAAAGCGCTGAGTGGAAAGTGACACAGCGACAGCAACAGCGCACCCTGACTGGATATCACACTTGCTAGCGGCTGGCACAATGGATGACCTAGGTTAAGGTACCGGTACAGTACAAAACAGAGAGAAAACGGCACTAGGTAAGCAGAACTGGGGGCACCGCTTCCCGCGTCTCGCCCCAAACAGGCAAAGTGTCCTGCAAAATGCACCAGGAAGGGGGGCCAGTGCACGTGCCTCTTTTTAACGTTACCTAACGAACCTGACCTCACTAGCCACGTTGTTTGATCAATCTCGTGGCAATCAGCCACAGAGGCTTCAAACACAAAGCTCCAGGTTGTGCATGTTCAACAGGCACATTTCCACCCAGAATAAGAGAAATCCCATGTAAGCATACCCAGGTTATATTTTGGCTGCTGCTAGATATTCTACTGTGGTTCACTGGAATTTATTAACGTTTAGCGCGTATATTTGGAGATTCAAGATTCACAATATCAAGTACAAAGTATGCGCCCTTGCGGCCCGTCTTCATCTCGTTCGAAGAAATGCTTGATGGAAGTACCGATAGACCTTTGAGGATAATGCAATATATAGGACTATTCATCTGTGATAACGAGAGTTTCTCTACGAAACTTTTTCTGGAATACCCGGGGAAGCTCGGGAGCGTCGGTGAAATGTAGAGTCGAGGCCTTCTTATCGTGCTATGTCACAAGCGGGATACTTCTGTTCTCGCCGCTGTATGGCTTCAAGTATGATGAGGGATATAGGGGATCGCATGTATCGCTGGTAGGTTAGGCAGTCAGCTACTGGAAGTGCTTTGATCACGTCACAAAGAATCGACTGTAGTATGTAGCTTATTGGACTTCACAGACACGAGAAGATGAATAGAGAAGGAAGTATAGTGAGGCGGAAACGAAGGGGTCGAGGACAGTCTGATTACAGCCAAGACCTTTTTTGAGTTCGCTGTCTGTAGCAAAAGGAAACTTGCACCGATCCAGATCAGACATTTTGGGCTCTACCAAAGGTGCGACAATGTTGACTTCACCAGGTCTTTGATTATTATGAGAGTTCAAACCATGTTTCACAAGACAAATACGTGGTTTAGGCCAAGATGCCTATGCAATAACAATATCTCGTCAAATCCTGGACAGTTGCAACTTCCCTTTAGTCATGACCACCATAGCATCTTGGAATTTCTCATATGTCCGTTGTACTGATTACCACTGTACTTGTTACATCTCCCACCAGTCCGTTCAGTCATGGAGCCGCGAGATGAGTGTTATCGTTCTCGCTCTCGTTTCAATAGGCAGACAGCCCCGCTTAGATCTTCAGCCCCTGAAAATAGTGGGTGCGTTTAGGCTGCCTGGCCTCATTTTCGGGGGGAGTTGGGGCTGAAGATGCCATTCTGTGGCGCACATAAGCATGATAGGCCGTGCTGAAAAGTCCGTCTTGGCACTTGCAGGCGCCGTATCAGTGGACCTCGCGCTGGTAAACGGAGTTCCCGTACTGTCACATAAAGCCCGGCCAATGGGCACCACGCAGCCTGTCGTCGTCATTGCAGCGCCCAGGACGCGCGAGTCAAGATATGCGTGTAGTCACAAGCCGCCGGGCTGTACCGCCAAATTATCGTATCCCGGCAAGCTACCGTATCTTCATCGTCTCGGGCGGCCTGTGATGACTCCGTCGGTATAAATGGTGCTCACTCCATGTCAAGAGGGCGGCGAGTGTCGACCCCGGCAAGGAAGGCATAAAGATAACCAGAGCGTCGCTTCATGAGGAGACTCCGGTTCTGCTTAGACAATTCCTGTTTACGCTTTCATAGGACAGTGAAAAGTGTATTTTCTAAACATTCACATACACCATGTCTGCTCCTAGGAGGATAGCCATCATAGGTGCTGGGCCTGCAGGCTGCATGCTTGCTCGACTACTACACCTGGCGTCCATCCCCGTGACAGTCTTCGAGAGCGAAGAGAGTCCCAACTACCGCTCTCAGGGTGGCACGTTGGACTTGCACACGGATACGGGCTTGGCCGCATTGAAAGCGGCAGGCCTATACGAGGGGTTCTTGAAGCAAGCCCGCTTCGATGGCGAGTCTCTACTCATTACAGATCGGAATCTCAAGACATACTTCCAGATCAAACCCACTAAGGAGTCAGAAAGCAAAATAGGAGGGCAGCGACCTGAGATCGATCGCGCTGAGCTCCGCCGCCTGCTCACGGAGAGCTTACCGGAGGGCACAATCCAATGGGGCCATCACCTGAAGGAAGTCAAAGAGGATGGCACGCTGGTGTTTCGGCACACGACCGTGAGCGGGTTTGACCTGGTGGTCGGGGCTGACGGGGCATGGAGCAAGGTGCGCGCCGCGCTCAGTGAGCAGAAGCCGATCTACTCTGGGGTAGCGATGCATGACTTCAGCATCCCGGACGCGGCGACGACGGCGCCGGACGTGTACGAGGTTGTTAATCGTGGAAGCATCTTTGCGTGTGGAGACGGACACCGCGTGGCGCTCCAGCAGATGGGCGATGGCAGCATCCATGTCACTGTATCTTTCATCCGAAACTCAGACAACTGGGCCGAAACCAGCAGCTACGATGTCTCATCCGCCCAGAGTGTGAAAGATGCGTTGTTTGGCGACGGAGGCGAATATGAGGACTGGCATCCGACGATCAAAGCCGCCATTTCAAAATCGAGCGACAGCTGCGGCCATCGCTCCCTGTATATGCTACCCGTGGGCTTCAGCTGGGAGCATCGACGGCCATTTACGGTCATCGGCGATGCGGCGCATCTGATGACCCCCTTTGCGGGCGAGGGAGTCAACGTAGCGCTGGAAGACGCACTGCAGTTGTCTCGCACCATCGTCGACGCAGTCAGCGCCGTCAAAATGGATAGCCAGAAGAACCTGGGTGACGAGCTGGATCAGGCAGTCGCTGCTTTCGAGAAGGAGATGTTTGCGAGAGCTGCACGGGTGGCCGAGCTTACGGACGAAATGCGGAAGGCATACTATTTCACGGAGGGTGTGCCGAAGAGTATCATTGCAAGGACAACCACATTGCATGCCAAGTTCCACACGCCCCCGATCTTGCACCCGCTCGTGACGGCTGGGGTTCGCGGCTATTTCTTCTGGAAGGGGCTTTTCCAGTAGGCGTCACTTAGTTGCGGTTGCAGCGTAATATGTTGTTTGGTATTCACGGTTGGACAGGGTATGACTGTATGATTCGAGAGACATAGCGCTATCTGATAGAACCATTGATTCACAACTCATCTACCATAGAGACACCATACGAATTGAGTTGGTGTAACACTTATCAATGGGATATGGCTAAAGCAGTAATACTTGAGATTATGTTTCCGGCACTCTCCCTGGGTCATAGGAGGTTCTCTCAAATGTGAAGTACATGTGAAGAAACCACCTTAAGAGTCTGCAGATGCTGTGAGCCCTAAAGCATGCTTAAATTCTAATGTCTGGCATTTGATCCATTTGATCCAACAGGATGTTTCCCGTCCCGGCAAGCCTCATGCACGAGGTCGCTGATCGCCGGCTTGGCCTGGCCCAGTTGGCGGCCAGAGACATTCGGTCAGGGATGCTGTTGATCTCCCGCCCACCCCCCTCATTCTCAAAGGCTGTCAAGGCAAGGCTGAACAGTAATTATCTTGCCTATTGATAGGAAACACTTCATTACTAATTGGCCGGATCCATACAAGCCTTGTATTGACCCAAGCAGCCATCCATAAATCTGACATGATGTCATGGGGGGCTGATGTGGTGAGCCAATGAGCGCTTGCGGAAGCTCTCGTCGAAAATGGAAACGTCGGGAAGGAGCCAACAACAAGGGGAGCTTTCAAGCTCAAGCTCGGAGGAAGGTGCCCGCCGCCACCTTCTAGCTCCCGCTGTGGGGTTGCTTCCCAACACCAAGGCCAGCTCAGGAACGCGGGGATAGCTCACGAGGGAGGCAAACTCCTGAAAGCTATTTAGAGGTAGTCTGAGAATTATAAAAAATATGCGGACAATCGCAGAGACTGCAATTTAAACGCGTCGTTGAGATCGACTATGGTCACCTTCACCCTGCCCCTCCTGTGAATCAATGAATATGGTTACTATGAGGCACTCAAGAACATAGAACCAAAAGATCTATCTCCAATGGTTCCGAGCTGAACAAAGTGACGAAGATACATGAGTAAAATGCACGTCTTTGTCAGCATGTGAATGACCCAAGTTGACGGCAAACTGAAGAGGTGATGAGAACCGAGAATGTCAGGGAGCTTTCAAAATTCGGGTATCTAAAAAGGATCTCAGGGGAGCAATCACTTCTTTCCATAGATGACTTCACTAAGCCCATCTTTCTGTGCTCTGATACGATAACGAGTGTGATACGAAGCAGACAATTTTCATTCTGGGTGTCGCAATATCTGATCTGGCATGAAAAATTGCGGAAACGCTTCCACAAAAGATATCTCTTACTAAGCTGAATTCAAGTTCGACATTCACATTGAATCCAATAATCTAAGGGAAAGGAGGATTTTGAGTGCGTTGGAACGGAGTGGCTAAGGCATCCATACGTAGCAATCCGCATCACCTATAGATGATAAGCTTTTGAGCATTTCATTGTCAAGCACCGAGAGACATCTGGCTAGGCGCTATCGTGGTAGAATGTGGAGGCACCCGAGACAAGACTGGCAGGCTGCATCGTTGGCATTCCATTCCATTCCGGCAAAGGGGAGATGATAAGTATCCGCGTCAGACACTCTACAGTTCAGGTCTTGATAAAGTTGTATGATTCATTGTCCGGCTGTCACCCGATGCTCGTGGCCGTTGCAGCGCATTGCATCGCATCGCATCGATGTCGCTACGGCGAGGCGGCGAGATGCTCTTTGTTTGTTGTACTGATGAGAACTGATGATTGTTCGGGGTTCATTGAGCTGGGATCGAGGACAGAGGACAGACAGGGGTCGGTGAACAGGCACATGGTTCCACATCGTGATCGGCCCTCCTGAGTCCTGATAGCCTGGAAGAACCCGAGCTGCTTGTGTGTTTCAATCTCGAGGATTTGAATTGGCAAATCAGCTGCGACCAAGAAGCCTGTCGTGCTTGCCTGAGGCTGCGAGAGTTGGACCTGTAATAGCCAGCAGGACCCAGCAGGAGCCCGTTGGCAGCGTGGTGGTTCTGGTAGTCTCTTCGCTTCGCTTCAAGAGAAACACGCCAAGGAGGCGCTTGAGCTGTGCCGGGGTTAGTCGCCCGTCCCGCATTGAACCTTCCCAAAATTATTATTATTTTCTCGAAGAGTTACCTAGTTACCTTAATTAGAGTGCGTAGGGTAGTTATTAGGATAGGTGCTTTTTTGTTGGTAGTCATCGTCACCATCACCAACATCCATCTTCATCCTCTTCTTCCTCCACCTTTTTCCCCTCTTCATTCCTCCCCCTTTGGAAAAGATTGGGTTTCCGCAGGAGATACGGCACGGCCAGAGAAGCAGAAGCAGCCCTCGTTGGAGTGCAGCAGCTTCTCGTAGCACTTAATTCCTCCTTCCTTTCTCCTCCACGCGCACCATCCCGGCCAATTCCTCGACCGACCGACCATCCTTCCTTTCCCCGCCCGACCGACTTCCCACTCGCGATCGCTGCAGTCCGCGCCCTGCACCTGCACCCATCACCAGCATTACTACCTGCCTCTTCACACACGAAGCTCCCAAAGTGTGTCTAATTCACGGTAGAGACATCGTCCAGCTCTCTTTCTTCCAGTTCCAGCGCCTCCCGCCGAGCGACGCTTCACTTCGACCCGCGCAACAAGTCTTCCATTCTACATACATACATAGACTGCCTCTTTCCCGCCCTCCACGAAACGATTAGAAACGACACACTCTTCAGATTAAGCACATGCCATACGTAATACTCTTGGGCAAAGGATAGATGAGCGTTTTTGTTTTCGGGCACGGGATTGGGCATTTGATTTGGCTGTCCAAAATTCCACTGTGATACCTGACGATTTTCCTTTCCCATCTTTGACCTTCTTTAGGGCAATCCATTCTCGAACCCAGTGGGCCAAGCTCGAAATCGAATCTGTACCCAGCCGCTTTACCTGCCTCTACCTGACGTCTCTACGTATCGAAGTTGACTGGTCGCCCCGGGTTTTCCTTCCCACCCCAGCACTGCACCAGCTATCTCTCTGCACCGCACCGCCGCCATATACAGGTCAGATCACCCGAAACTGGACAATTCATCCATACCTACCTACCTGGTACCCTCCTACTTCCTTGCCTTGCATACAAGGAAACACCGGTTGCCATCGTTGGGCTCTCTGCCGCAGCCTGTACTGTCTGACATACTGCGCCGTACTCTATTGTCAGTCGCTGATCATCCATCTTCGAGGAGCCAGCCGCTGGCGCCCACACCAAAAAGCAACCTAAACCCGAGCCCACACGTACCCGCCCACACACCCACACACACCAACACCCGAACTCGACCTTACCTTTGACCCTTTTCCACCCTGCGCTATATCGAGCTAGCCTGCCTGCCCCCGACAGGGTTTAGCAACTGGCAAGCTGTCTCTCGAACGCAGGGCTTGTCAGAAAACACACGACTGCAGTGACTGGGAGAGCAAGTGATGGACGACAAGAGATCGTCGTCGTCGACAGCCTCCAGCAAGCCACTACCAGCAAACTCTTCTTCATCATCGCCCGCCAGCACCGCAGCAACGGCTCTGAAGTCGCCAAGCGCTGCACGGCCACTGTACAGCAGCAAGCTCGGCGACGCACCAAAAGCCAGAGCCCCCGACAGCAGCAGCAATTCGTCTAGCAGCAGTCCGACCACGAGGTGAGACACGAGACCCTTTACTTTCCCTTACCCAATTTTTTTCCCCTTCACCATTTGCGCCGTGTTTCCTGTCTGTCCTCTTGTCGACATCAACAAAAGGCCAGCCAGCCAGCCCGCCCAACTTCCCCAACGAGCCGACAACAGAGCACGAACACACGTACTCGCAGCCGGCCGAGCCATCAACGAGCCCTTTCTTCCGTCTCTCATTTTTCTCTTATCATCGACTCCGATCTTCGTCATGCCCGCATCCCTTGCGTCTGCGGCTCTCTTGTCTTAACCACACCTACCTATCTGCCCATCTACCGACCCAAATCCACCATACCTCCTACCCGCCCTGCCCTAATTGGATGCAATTCCATCAGTGGCACGCTGGCGCATGCGATTGACTGATCTCTCTCCTGCTAGACAACCTCCTGTTCCTCAGCAGAAGGCTTGGTCCTCTGCCAAAAACCCCATCACCGGTCGGGCCAACACCACACAGCAGAATAACCTCAGCTCTGCGAGCAAAAACTCCGCGGTTGCTGCTCTACGCGAGGTGAGTACACCCATTGTTCCATTTTGTCGTCTCGACTCTCGACCTACCTGCACGCCCGCGTCCCCCGCCACCATTTTTAAAGACATCGTCGCGCCGACTTTCACATCGATGTCACATCCAGCTCATCGAGCTCACTCTTCAATTCCGCACAAAATCTTGATTTTTCGGAATGCCATACTGACCATCCGTTTCTTCTAGGGCCAACGGGTGCTACTAACCCTTGCCAACGGAAGCGCATACGAGGGTGTGTATGCTAACAACCCGTCCGATCCCGCCAGCTGTATCCTGAGAATGGTGCAGCAGAAACCGACCTCACACGACTCGACCAACGGTACAAACAAGCGAGACCAACAATCGAGCATGTCGTTCGCCCGAAAGGACATCACCGACGCTCGCGTCGTCGGTGGCAATGCAAACAAGATAGACACAAAGGCGCAGAATGGTAAGGAATGGCATCGCGAGGTGAGATTCGCACCGCTAACATTTGCAAAGGCAATAGATCGTCGTTTCGAACGGACAGAGATACCGCGAACGCGAACCGTCGCTTTGGTGGAGAGCGCGAGTTGCAACGATGGCAGCCCGATGCTTCTGATGCTGTCGATGGAAGCTTGGAAGGCGGCCTACAAAACTCAAAACAATCCCACGGTGGTGCCTGGGATCAGTTTGCCGAGAACGAGAGACTCTTCGGCTTGAGAACAGACTATGATGAGGCCATCTATACTACATCCATTGACAAGAACCACCCACAGTACAAGCAGAGAGTAGCGGCTGCAGAGAGGAAGGCGCGAGAGATCGAGCGCAGCGCTGCAGCCACGTCCCACGTTGCTGAAGAGCGTGTGATGGACTTCGTCGGCGGGGACGACAACGCTGATGAGGAAGATAAGTACGTTCAGACACGGCAAAAGAAACCCCCTTTGTAGAGAAATTCTAACAAATCATTAGGTATAGTGGAGTGAAACGACAGCAGCAAGACTTCCCTCCTCTTGCCAACCGCGAGAACAAATACACTCCACCAGCTAGACGTGCTCCGGCCGGCGCAACCACTGTCAAGGGAGCACCGGTTGACCCAGCTATCATATCTTCCCAGATTAAGGGCGCACCAACCAACAAGCAGCCTACGCCGAAGGCTGAAGAGACGAAGACGCCAAACCCCACGCCAAACAAGACCCCTGTACCACAAACTGCCGACAAACCTGCGCCTGTTGAGCCGAAGCCAGATGCAAAGCCCGCCGAGACAAAGCCAGCTGAGAGCAAACCGACTGAGACTAAGACCGCCGACTCGAAATCCTCAGACAAATCTACAGGTGCCCTCCGGCCCTCGGCTACTACAGGTCGCACAATTTCCCCACAAGGCAAAGAGGCGGCAGCTGTTCCCAGTGCTACATCTACTGTTGAACGCGATGTTCTGAACTCGTTCAAGAATTTCGCTACCCAGCAGCGTCTGAACGCCGAGAAGGCGAGAAGCAATAAAGCCAAGGCAGATAAGGAAGTGAAGTTGATTGAACTGAAGAAATTCGCCGACAGCTTCAAGTTGTCGACTCCTGTTCCAAGCGATCTTATTTCCATCATTGCTAAAGACCCTGCCAAGCAGAAACAGATACAGGCGAAGGCTCTTCAGAATGCCGAGGATGTGGCCAAATCAAAGGAACACTCGAAGGACAAGCCTGAGCCCGCTGCAAAGGATGTGCCAGCAAAGCCTGTCGTCCAGCAGACGCCCACTCCACCAGCCACAGCTACTCCAGCAACAGGGGCGGCTACTGCTTCTCGGCCTCCTGCGACACAGCATACAAGCTCACCATCTGGCGTTCCCAACCGTCACCCTGGTCCTCGTCAACCATACAATGGGCAGCAGTACACAAACAGAAACGGCCGCTCGCCGGGACAGAATATGGCTCCACACTATCAACAGACAGGGAATCTCGCGCAGAGGCTCCGCAATGTCGAGCAGCAGAAGCTGTCCCAGCCACCTCAGCATCATGTTCCTCAGGACATGCGTATGCCGCCTACTGGACCTGCGAATGCTGTCGATCAGTATGGTAACAGGCGTCTCAGCGGCCTGGCACCAGCACACGTGGGCCCGAAACTGAACCCTAACACTCAGGAGTTCCGCCCAAGTCCGTTCGCGCAATCTTTCAACCCCGTCGGGCCAAGCGGCGCATCCAGCCCTCGCTCTTCAGTCAACAATGCTGTTGAGGCTCAATCGACTGCGACTCCTGTTGCGGGCCAACTCATTCGACGCAAGACGAAGGCCATCGATGTGAAGAAGTGTTTTATTTTGTCACATATTCAGACCTTGCAGCCTCCTCATAACAATCGCACCTGGGAGGAGAATGGTGGCCTGAGACCATCATTTGACACGATTCCAACTTGGAAGCAACTCATGGATGATGACCCAGCGGATTCCATTATGCGCCTCACATACGCTCAATACTTCGAGAGACAGCCATTCTCGGGAGCTACGCTTGCAACACCTAACCCTCCCCACGTCGTCCCTCAGATGGCCCATCAGCATCAGCTGCCCTTCCATCTACAGCATGGTGCACATAGCCTTGCACCTAGGCAGTCTCCGCACATGCCGCCCATGCAGATGCACTCTGGCCAACCTAACCACACGCCTCATGTGCCGTTTAACGGTGATGATCACCGGATGATGCACTCAAACTCAGCCCAGTCGTTTGCTTCCCCACGCATGACTCAAGTTCCTATGGCGTATCCTCCCGCGATGAACTCGCCTGCTCAAATGCCATACAATCAACCGGTTATGCAGCCGTTCCTGGGCCCTGGCACTCCCCAGATGGGCCAGTTCCGCAATTTCTCTCAGAATCCTCAATTCATGCCCCAACAGCCTGGTCATATGGGCACACCGCTCATGGTTCCACAACAGTACATGGCAGGGCCAAATCCTATGGTGACTGCAACACCTCAGATGCAGATGTATCCTGGCGGCCATCCCCAGTTCATGCCTCCTGGCCCTGCCCCTCAGCCGATGCCTGGTACCAATGGGTATCCCAGCCCAGGTAGACCAGCTGCCCCCATGATGGTCCACCAAGGCTCTCAGCAGGGGCAGCCGATGTACGGCATGAGCCCCGGTATGCAATACCAGCAGCCCGTATTCACACCACAACAGCCCGGCCAAAGTAAGTTTACGAATAGACGAATGAGCTCATCAGGGCGCCAGTACTAACGCCTTGATGAAGTGTCCAATATGCGAGGATACAGCAACCCTGGACCGCAACAGTATGGCAGCAGCCCCCAGCAGATGCATCAATTTGGGCCACAACATCGTAGTGGTAGCTATGGTGGCAAGAACTTTCAGCATGGAGGCCAACACCAGGGACCGTCTCCTGGCCACTCTGTTCCAACTGGTCCACAGGGACGCACCCCTGACAGCCAAGAGGAGGCGAAATGAGCCACATTTGTGCGCTAAACCGTCTTCCAATATTACGATTCAATCGCGATGTGTTCGCACGGCACGTACAGTTTCTTGCAGTTGCAACGGATGACACCAACAGCATCATTCGTGTTGATCCTGTACGTGACACCCGCTTCGAGGATGAGAGGAAAAGAAGGCAGGTTGGAATCATAGGAACTACATGTTCACCTGGCACTTGCGTCATGGATATGATGGTTTCTACTTCTTTTCCATTTAAGATGTTTCCGACGAGCTTGTCTTCTTTTCCCTTGTCCACGCTGAATCAAATTTCGCAATATTTCAGCTCGAATGTGTCCTAATTGGTGGGCTTCCCACCGGCGACGACACATTTTGATTATTACTAGCATGACGATCGTATCAGCCCGCACTTTAAGTGTTGGGTAGTTTGGTCGTCTAGCGACCGAAATCTACTGTGATGGGGGCCCGTGAAGGTTGCCAGGCCCACACCATGACCGAGAACGCACTGATGTGTTCTCCTGAAACCTGACAGGGGAGGCAGATTACAGCTGAGGGTGGAAGGGCGGGGAATTAGGGCTGCAGCGTGAACAGTGGTCAGTGGTGATTGACGAAGATGAAAAAGTCTGGTGATATCTAGCTTTGCTGGAGGTCTTGTTCCTGGCGGACTGATTTTTGGGTCGCCACCGTACGGGCGACCTTGCCTGCAACCCGTGCCTGTCAAGTTCTGGGTGTTGCGGTCTCAGTTGCTAAGGTTGAGATGCAGTCTGTCCGTAGCTGAGTCTTGACCATAGTATGGCCTCTGCAAAGTTTGATAGAAATTTTGAAAGCGCTTTATACCTGCCTTATTATCCATGATGTGACGAACAACGACACTCGTGACAATCAGTTAACTGATGAGAGCCTGGCCGTATTGGCTATAACCGCTGGATGTGACCCTTGACTGTAGGGGAAAGGCAATGGAGTTGAAATACCGATGCAGATGAGCAGAACTACGGTCTGCCCCTGGGCTATCACATGAAAACGGCCATGGCTGAGGCAGAAGCGAAGGGCCGTCCGGGCCCCGGGCCCGGGTCTGACCTGGTGGCCATCACATTCTAGCACACAGCACGGCACATTGACCGGCTGCCTCTTTTAAGCATAAATGGCACTGCGAAGTTGTGCGCAGCTGACAAGTCAAGGCAGACAGACAGACAGATATACTTAGCTACGACGGGTTCAAGACGGGCTACTCGGTTCGTTCCATGTGCATGATATTTTGTTGCAGGGAGGTGCGTGGACGGATGGCATCTCGAACTGCGGGGACAACGCGCTTCTCCACTAGCCAGAGCTTTCTTCTGGTCCGGCCCGGCGTCCTGGTCGAGCTGAGCTTCCGTGAGTTGAGCTGGCGGCGAGGCGGAGTGCGGCGGTGGAGAAGAAGGGGGAGGGAGATGTCTCTCATTCCAGTGTTGAACTTGGTGTAGTGAGTCGCGCGAGGCGAGTCTAGTTAGTGACCGGTGGTGGTGGTGGTGGTGGCGGTTTCGTGAGGCGCACACGCGGCTGGTCGACATCGGATGGACCAAGTCAAGGGATGGGGCATCATGCTCGAGTAACGCGGTTCATGTTCATGCGAGACTTGGCACTTTTTGATTCCCGGATCTACGTCTATATCCTACACTACGAGAAATGAACCGGGGCTTCGATATAGACTAAGGCTGAATGAAACCCGGGCAAGAAGATGGATGGGAGGGAGGGTATTCGCTTGTCGGACCGCTTTCGAATATGCCTTGGTCTGCGCTTCCTTTTGCCTCGGGCATTATGCTCAGAGGAGGCCTTCAGGAGAATGGCATATAGCAAAGGAGACGGGATCTGGAGTGTTCTAGCGCGAGGACATGGAGCGATCCCCGGCAATTTGTTTCGTAGATCTTTCATGCGATGCGCTGCGGGTGACGAGTTTGCTTGTCCAAGTCTCTGTGGCGCGTGCTAATTCAGGGGTCAGGGTGGGCTTGTCTACTCGGTTCTTCTCCAGGTTTGGGATGGCATTTTGCTATTGCTGTTGTTGTCTTTCGTAATGGCGCCGGGTTGCCTCCTTGTCGTAGCCTGATACCCTGTCCAGTTGGCAACGTTACCTGAGCTAATCCCTCGGCCGACTTACACGTGTGTAGTAGAGAAGGCGAGGTACCTCCTCACGATGCTTGGCAGACATTGAGGGCAGAGTGGTGTCAGCAGTGTGTCTACATGCGTTGCTAGATACATACACACATGCCGTCTCTTTCTTGGCCAGTCCAGGCCGGCAGTCACGGCCAGACTTGATCAATCTGAAATGGAGCTATGCGGTCCATCACATTCAAAAGTCTGGTTGCGAGCGAGTCGTGACCAGCAAGCGCGAAGAAGAGCGCGAGGGCGACACGACACGTTACTGGCGCCCCGTTGAAAGTTGAAAGAAAGGGAGAGAGAAAGGGGCGATGTTTCACGTTGAAATCTGGCCGATGGGGAGAGACGAGCGGCTGTAACAGGGGCAAGGGCAGGCTAACCCCGGCGGAGGATAGCGGCAGCTGCTTGGGGGCGGCTGGGGCCGCTGTCAGCCAATCAATTCTTCCCGCCGCCGTTTGTTAGAGCTCCCCTCCCCCTCCAGGGCTGGCAGTGGCAGTTCCAAGGTCGCCAGATGCCAGGGACGCCGGGCAGCTGATTGGCGCTGGGGAGTTTGGGGTGAGGGACGAGATGTGTGCAGGCGTGGCATCTCTCGCTTTCATTCTGTGGGGAAAACGAAGAAGAGTTTGCTTGAGCGAGTGAGTGTCCCGAGGTCCCTGGCGTCTCCCTTGTTACTGCGCGTTTACTGGTCAGGATGGCCAGGTCACATCGAGAGTCAAGCTTCAGAGTCGGAGGGAGAGACGGCCACTCTGCATTATGATTCGGCGATGCGCTCAGTCTGAGATGAGATGAGATGCGATGCGAGGTAGAAGGTATCTACGAGTACCTACAAGACAGCACCGGCTGTGAGTTGCTTCTCAGATTGATTGCCAGAGAGGGCACAGAATTACCACTTTGATGCCCAGGTTATTTTTCCCAATTATTCCCGTCCCGTAGTAATAATCAGACTAGAGTGGTGCACAAGAATAGGTACAGGTATAGGTACAGATACAGGTAGGCGAGGTGGTAGGCGAGGTGGTGGGATGCTGCGTCAACCCACATTCCAGAAGCTGCCAGTACAACCCGATCTACACACACGTATCTGTATCTATTATCTATTATCGGCATCTGCATGCCAGACGGTGGTAAGGCGACGGTGGACGGGCGGCAGTATGCACATCAATAGGAGGAGGATGGTAGAGAGGAATCCATTCAGCTGTGAAGTTTTGATAGAACACAGTTTGGGATATTGTATAGACTGTACCTGCATGTCCATTCACACCATCCCGCCCGCCTCCCCCTGACCGACCGAAGAATACCTGTACAAGCAGACAACTAAGGTACCTTCCCAATTCTCCACAAGCAAATGCCCATGCATTTGCTGTCGTCACCAGCAGTGCGTGTCTCAGCTTACAAGAGTCGAGAGGCCTGAAGGACTGCAGCTGGCCTGGCTCGCCTGGGCCTGACCCATGTTGGCGGCCGTTGCTTGGCACGGGAGCTTGCCATGCAGAAACACGCCAGCCGCCCAATGCCCACTCAGAGTCACATCCACTCCACCACTCCACCACTCCACCACGATTCGGCGATCAGTGTCAGGGGCAGACTCACCTGCTCATCCTTGCATGTGGACGGTCTACGGTCAACCTACCTGCTCTATACAGCATGTGCTCTACTACCGGTGCTATGCGGCAGATTCTATGAGTAAGTGGAAGTAGGTAAGGTGTGTGTAAGTGTGTGTAAGTGTGTGTAAGTGTGTAGGTGTTTGTGTGGTGGGGAAGAAGAGAGAGACAGACATAAAGGAGCCGCATGCCAATTCCTTTGTCCCACCGACCGACCGACCTCTCCTTCTCCCTTTCTACATGCCAGTCATCCAGCCAGTCTCTCTTGCCTTCTCTATTCTTCCTCTTCTTTTTCTTCGGCCTTCTCTCTTCTCACAGTGTACGGCAGTCTCTCTCCTCTCTCCTCTCTCCTCTCTCCTCTCTCCTCCTGCCCCTTCGCCACACTGTTTCACTTTTTTCTTCGCTTCTTGTTCATTCTTCGCCAGATTGTACAGCACATAGCCACACAAACACACACACACTCCCTCACGAACAACGCGCGCTTGTTCTCTCCTAGATACCTAGACTCCTAGAGACATACCTAGTCAACCTCCTCAACGCGAAGCCTGGTGCCTCGATTTTTTTTTTCGATCCTTTTTGTTGGACTGCTCCATTGTGGATAAAGCCCTCAGCTGGCCCCCCCCATTGTTCACCCGCAAAACACGCTCCCTCAAGGAACAATCGCGAACAATAAGAGAACAATCGGCTTGTGCCGCCAACCTCTCACTCACTCTTTATCCACGCCTTTCACTCAGACTTCCTGCTGTAGGCTGGGCAACATAAAATAAAGGATTACTCCCGCAGGCTGGCACCAAGAGACCCTCTTTCTCTCTCTCTACTTAAGCTCGACATCCTTGACGGACTCGACTCTTTCCCATCCCAAAAGTCTTGGCTTTCTTAAACCTCGATCTTCAACTTCAGACGATCTTTTTACGTACAGAACAGACGTGAGGCCCAAGTAGAAGGCACTGAGTTGTACAACCAGAAAAACTGTGCAGTCATCTGTCCATCGACGACATCAACGACAGCAACCTCACTCGGCGCCCACTTGATACGCACTCACTCACACTCTCACTCATCCTGCAATCATGCATTTCACAACGACCACAGGCTTGGTCCTTGGCCTGGCGGCCTCATCCGCCCTCGCCCACATGGAGATGTCCTTCCCTGCCCCGTTCAGGAGCAAGTTCAACCCTAACGCCGGAAGCAACATCGACTACTCCATGACTGCTCCCCTGAAGGCTGACGGATCCGACTACCCTTGCAAGGGCTACCAGTCTGACTTCGGAACCAGCGCCGGCAAGTCAACCGCCACCTTCGCCGCCGGAACCACAAACAACATCACCATCGTCGGCGGTGCTCCCCACGAGGGCGGCAGCTGCCAGGTTTCTCTGTCCAGCGACAGCGGCAAGACCTTCACCGTCATCCAGAGCATCATCGGCAACTGCCCCGTCCAGACCAGCGGCAACTTCGACTTCGAGATCCCCTCGGACGCCCCTACTGGAGACGTCCTGCTGGCCTGGTCTTGGCACAACGCCGTCGGCAACCGCGAGATGTACATGAACTGCGCTGCCGTCACCATCACCGGAGGCAGCAGCAAGGTGAAGAGGGACACCGCCGAGAAGGTCGACGACAAGAAGGAGAAGCGCGCCACCGCCTACAGCGCTCGCCCGCAGATCTTCGTCGCAAACGTCGGCAACGGCTGCACCACAGTCGAGGGCGGCGCCGTCGAGTACCCCAGCCCTGGCGACGACGTCACGAGAAACAGCCAGAACGCCCTTGCGCCATCTGGCAGCTGCGGAACTTCGACTGGAGGGTCTGGCTCTGGTTCCGGCTCGGGATCTGGTTCGAGCTCCGGCGTTGCCTCCAGCGCTGCCGCCTCGACACCAGTCGCTGACCCGACCACGGCCGCAGCAGGAGAGACTCCCACTTCAGCGTACGTATCCCCGTCACTTTCTTCACCATCATCACCCCCTATCATGTTCTCGAGCACGACGCTTGCCGTGTCTCTCACTTCTGTGTCTCCTTCTGCTTCTCTGTCCACTGCACAAGCGAAGTCTGACACGACCTTCATCGACTCCAGTTTGACCCTCACCGTCGTACCTGTAAGCTCACCAGCCTCTCCCTCTAGTTCTCTGCCCGGCGGCGTCTTCTTCACTGCCACCACTGGCGGCTCCGGCTCCGGCTCCGGCTCCGAGACCACCACTCCTCTCGCAACCCCTGAGCCGACCACCCTCGCGACCGTGACCACGGCAGCGGGCGGATCAGGCTCCGGCGCAGCGACCACCACGTCGACCGCCGCCCCGGCCTCTGGCACGGGCACGAGCGGCTCCGACGCCGGCCTGTTCACGCCCGGCACGGCCTGCACCAGCGAGGGCCAGTGGAACTGCATCGGCGGCACCTCGTTCCAGCGGTGCGCGAGCGGCACGTGGTCGGTGCAGATGGCCCTGGCCGCGGGCACGAGCTGCACCGCCGGCGTGAGCGACTCGCTCGACATGTTTGCGACCAGCAACAAGGCGCGCCGCTTCCACGGCAGCCGCGGCCGGCGATACGAGGGCGCGCGTCGCCAGATGGTCTAGGGAGGTCGTCCTCGGATGGATGGCTCTTTTGAAAACTCGGAACCCTCTGGCGAAGGGTAGGGAGTATGACTTTGTTCTTTTTCGATTCTTCACACATAAAAGCAAACCATTTCTTGCATCATCAGCATCCATAGGGTTGGTCTTCTTTTTCTTTTTCTTTTTTTTTCTTTTTTGCCATCCCAGTCTCGCTCACGCAGACTGCTAGGCAGGCAGGCGTTCATTGGATCAAGGGGAACGGCACATAAGGCATTTGCTGGCTGTAGCAGTCCACTCTGGCTGGCTGGCCATGACACAACGGCAGGGTACATATACCATACCACCACCATTACATATCTGTACATCATCTTCAGGAACGGAACGGAAACGAAATGCAACGAACGAACAGAATCCGATGAGATGAGATGTAGAGATTGCCAGACAAAAATAGACTCTTCTTCATACCTTTTTGACATTTAGCCGTTTGGCTTGACTTTGCTTGTGCTGTGATATCTTGTGCTGTGTATTTGGGCTCGTCTATCCAAAAGAAGCACTTGCTTTCTTTCATTCTTGTGGCGTCAGTCTTGGTTTTAGATCTCTTAGCCTGTTCTGTTCCTTGCCCTCGGAAAGATCTCGAATCGAGCATGTCAGGCCGACAGGCAGCTTCCAAGGTCTGCCGAATATCGAAAATGACGGATGGCCAAATCACTAGATGTTGACATGCCCACTTTGTAGCAGGTGCCGCCTTGGTCGGCCCGGTCCTCCTAGGTGACTGCTATCCAAGCAGCAGCTATCTCGAAGGTATAACCATACTTTCCAGGCCACAAGGGCCATTGAGGAGTATGGTCCAGCGCGCATATGCAGTGGATGCTCGAGCAACTAGCTATCTCAAGTATAATTCCAGGCCAAGCCTCGTCCCCGTTATAGCAACAAGATGATACTGGTAACAACCAGTAAGGCGCTGTTACCAGCAATGGGGGACGACCTGAGCACTGCAATCAGCTGGTCGAGTGCTCTCTTCTTTGTAGATCAGCTGCACTGGCAGATGGCATCGACCACCACTTCCATGGTTTGTCGGGCAAGCCCAATGATGCTCGAACAGTTCATCATATCGAAACCATCTTTTTCTAGGACATGGCTTTGTCACTCTTCGCTACATGTAGCATCTTCGCTTGTGACAATGACGACACACCACAACGGCAAGCTGCCGACGGAGAAATAGGCATCTCACTCGAGATATCCCATGCCTCCATCTGATCGAGATTTGTATCGACCCGTGCTCAAGGGAGATCAAGCACATCCCAGCTGTTGGAGAAGAGAGCCCTGACTGCCCATCTAGCGTCTCTCAGGCTTGCACAACCCCGGCTTTCTCCCCACAGCAACTAATGGGTTTCACCGCGGAAAAATCGCCATTGTCCCCAGCATCTCCCTCCCCAAGGTCTCCAAGCCAGCCAGCGCTAAGGCAAGGCTAGATGATCTGTCCGTGATGAGTTGTCGTCAAGAGATACTTTAGATCAAGGCGGCTCATCCAGCTGGGGAAAGACGAGGGACAACGACGGGGGCAGGTCATTCGCGGCAATTGTTTCCCACGAACCACAGGGCGTGAGCGAGTCCGGGGCAGAACCCGGGGATGGCTCCGCTTGTTGGGGGGGGCTTCTCGCTGAGAGAGGGCCGCTGGCGACCGGGTCGCTGGGGACTCTGCCATGAACTATCCCGAGAGCCGGGGCCAACTCTTGGGGAGTTGGGGGAGTGCTTGAAGACAACGGCGCAAGGCGTGGGCAGTTATTCCGGGGCCCCAGGTTGGAGCTGACTTTGTGTGTCTGTCTCTGCTTGTCATTGCTGCAGGTACTAATGACGTCTGCTAGCAGGCATTGTGGAGAGAGGGGAGAGGCAAGAGGGAGAGAAACACACAGAGAGGTTGAGCTTCGCTTTCGGACATACTCCGTCCGAGAGGCTCATCTCGCTCTGTGACTCTGTGCAGCCCTAGACTGGCTCGCCTGGGGATGCCGGGTAAATTCGCCTCAGTGGGAAGATTCCCTGGGCTTCTCTTAACCGGGTCGAAGGGGAGAACAGCATGCAGCTACTTGGCGTGCATCGTGTATTGTTCCCGGGTACTTTCGTCTCTCGTAACTTGGAATAGTATATGTAGATAGTGTAATTGAGTCGCTGGCATAACTCCTAGTTCTTGTGATCGCTCCTTGGAGTGTCCATCGAATTCACTACAGAAGGAGAGACCTGGGAGGATGGGCGGAGAGGGGCTCGGCCCTTCTACCCCGGATCTGCCGGTGGAGAGGGGACAGGTAAGAAAAGATGGGGGAATCGAGAAGCACAAGCCTGCAACGGAGATTTACTGGGCAGATCACGGGGAGAGATCAATCAGTCGGTAGCATTCCCTCTCTCCACTTCGTCACCAAAGGGTAAAGAAAAAGAGGGGAGACACGAGACGCTATGCGGGCGGCGATGGAGAGGAGGCCGGCAGGGTTGAGGATTGGTGCTTCATTGCCGCAGTAGCGAATCCGCGTACGGTGCAATAGACAAGAACGGCCGCAAGTCGGGCCATGTTCGGCGCTTCGGCTGCTTGGTGAGGCATGATGCTGTTGATAGTCCCACTCGAGAGAAGGAACATAGAATGAAAAGGATGCATATTACCGCCGAGGTTGAGATCCAGAGAAGAGTAAGTAGGCAAAAGATGGCAAGCCAGTGGAAGCCATATCGGCCTCTTTGCGGGCTTCCATACTATGGGCGATGATAGTGAGTGTAAATCGCGGAAACGTGGGCTGCACAGTCTCGAGGTGAATTGAAACTGACTCAATTGAGTGCTCGGGCTAGGCCAGTCCCGTTTGGAGACTCGGTGTGAGTCGGGGGATCGGCACAACGCGCAAGCATGGCCATCTCCACCGTCCACCTCAATAGCTTAACGTTAACGTTAATCGAGGGTGTCCATCCATGATCGCACGTGGTGGAAACGCTGGCGAATGAGCCGTCACCGTTCCTGACAAAATCTTGCGAGTCTTGCAGACCTCAGCAACGTGCACGTCGAAAATCGGCCACGTGCTTAGTCCTGACGCTTGACTGTTCATTCGAGATGGCAAACGATCAATTGACAAGAGAGCCCGGGTTCCTGGGCATTGGACAATTGTGAATTGCTGCCGTCTTGGCTGTGCTTGGCCGCACTCAATGCTCTATGATCACTTTATGCTGTGCAGGGACAGTGGGGATGCGTCGAGACCGGGAGGGATGAGGTCTTGCTTTATGTATCTCATTTCGAAATTCTCTTCTCGAATCCTTTTGATGCTTCCCTGATCCCCGCGACTGGGTCGGATTGAGGGTTGAGGGTTGAGCAAGTAACAAAGTACGCAGCCAGCTGCAGGTGAAGAGCTTGGTACAGGTTGGTTATCAAATGCCTGCTCAATCGGGTTACACACGTGCAATCTCCGCGCGCAACAATTTGATTCTCAGCTTCCAAGCTTCCTCTTTGGGTCCCACATTGCCAATATTCATCTCTACCCTGGATTTCCTTTATTATTCTTTCGTAATCCATTGCGAAGTCCATGGATATGGAAGTTACCGTCAGGGACTCATCCCAATAATATCATCGCAGTGACAACTCAAATGAATGAGTGAGTAAACTGCACCAGGGTGTTATGTGAGGTACTTTACTTTGCTGCTCGTCTCCCAGTTGATCCGCGGACCTTCCAGAACGAATGGATCAATTGGGTAAGGTTTGCTTGCCTCAGCTTTGCGGAGGCACCGCTACTTAGTCCGCGCTGTCATGGAGCGCCGCCCGATCAAACAATGGACGCTGGATAGCGGCAGTCCGTCGCCCGTGACAAGCCAATGGCCTATCTTGGTTATCGATAGACCTATCTCTCTATCGCTGATTCTATGTCTATCTTCTACTTGTGCTATTCTCAATCGAATGTGTGTGTCTACTCTGTGTCTTATCCATAATTCCAAAGAGGAGCGTACTCGCTACGTAAGATGGAAATCTCTTACCCAGCAGCCAGAGATGCCTGTGACGCCGACTTCCGAAGGCCGGAAGTCGTTGAGTGCCCGCTATTGAAATGTCTTATGGGGTACCGTACAGACAGACGCTAGACTCTTCAGATGGTCGGGCACGTAAACGCAATCAACGTTTGCAGACGACCGTTTATGCATCAAGGTGCATTGCATTGATTATGATACATTACGGTAGGCTGTGTGTGTATGCATGTGTTCATGCCTTACTGCACAGCTCACTTCAGCTCCTCTCCGCCTGAAATCTCCCCGAGACATTGTGCACGGGAAGCACAAATAGCTACGTAACACGCTCTCAATTGCAACGAGCCTGTCAATTCTTCTAGCAAGGTACCCGTCCTCCCTTTCTACGGGAAGAGCGGGAGCGGTCCAGCCTGGCTATGAACTAGTGAGAGCCTAAGAACGTTACGGGGTTTTCCAAAAACCATCGCTGAATCCGACATCCAGTCAGTGACTCCACAGGCCGTCGCCCAGGTCCCTGGATTTCCAATCACCATAGCACGACTCGACCGTTGCCTCAATTCACAGGTTTATCAGAGCTGTGCACGTGTGTTCTTCGGCTTCCAGAGCCATTTCTCGTTCAATTTCGCCAAACGCCCAGCAGGGCCAGCATATCCCCTGAAGGAGAGCGGCTACCGGAAGGAAAACATTCTGGCCGCGCAATGCTGCGCCTCCTCTTGTACCCTGGCGTTTTTTTCAACAATCCTACGTAAGACCTGGTAGAATTAAATTCGAATTCAATGAAGGATTAAGCCACCCGACCAGCGGCCTGGTCAGCGACTGGCAAAGTGTGCACCGAGTTGAAGAGCGAGAGACTGTTCCGCTGCACTACGTAAAGTGAAGTATGATCGGTACCAGATAGCAGGACGATCATGACGGATAGCCGGCTACAATGAGCAGACAGTCTCGAGGTCTTCCCCTCACGCTATCCCCAAATCTTGGAAGAGAGGCAAGAGATCGTGAGGGGCGTGCAGCATCAGGCAACTTACAGCAGGTACCTATGTAGGTGCTCGCATTGAATTACGGAGAATCACCGTTCATGGTTCTTTCGTCACTGATTTCCTCCGTTCACCGGGGACCCATACACAGTAGACCACTGCTGCCAAGGAATTAACGTTAATAGTTCCTGTGGCTTCACGCCGCCGTTGGCTCTAGCTTGCAGTTCTCGACCAGCTCCCCTTGGTCCCAGCCGACAAGCCCGCCTTGATTAGGCCTTTTCCGGATGAATTGGACCAGCCAGGCCCCAAAATATCGTCTCTCTTCCCCGCCCGCTTATCAGCAGGGGGCCATGTCCTCTCTTGTCCTTCTGCTTCTCTCTCTACCAAAGGCGGAGGAGAGATGCGAGCGAGCTGCCCGTTGTGTGTTCGCGCAATCGCATTGGTGGAATCGGCTCACCTTCCCATCCTTCGACCTGGACCAAGTCGCTCGTTGGCCCGGTTCGGATCAGCTGCAGGGGACTTGTAGTCTAGAGTTGGGTGGGCATTTCCCGTTTTTGCCATGCCATGCTCGTGCTTGTTCTGTCTGTGCTGTGTGCGCTTGTATTTGCTTGCTTGGGGCTGGGCTTTGTTACTCACAGACGGTGGAGGCGGATGAAGAGGAGGAATCGAGCCAGCGACAATGGACGATGCCTGCACGCATCCCATCCTCCTTTTGCCTCCCCCGGCCTGCCAGCGTACCATCGACATGGTTAACCATGACTAGAGTCCGATGGCTTTGAATGACGGGCCCTAGGCCCCCCTCACTCAACGTATTCGAGTACTCTTCACCACCCTCTTGGCTCTCGACCTTCTTCGCGCCGCAACCCCCCGGCCCTACACACCCATGAAGTGCAAGCCATCTCCGTGTTAGGTAGGTGAGGTCCTGCACGACTACAGCATAGCGGCGCCCACGGGCAAGGTAAGGCAGGTAACAATACGACGGTACCTTACTCCTACATATAACTATATCGTCGCCACACCTTTTGCTTTCCCTCCCGCTCCCCTTCTCTCTTCTTTTGGTACACACGAGTCAACAGAAGCCTCCGAACCCAAGTGCTATACCAGACAATTTCCCCTCGTTGTCGATAATCGAGAAACATACAGTCAAAATGAAGGCCTCCGTCGTTGCTGTCCTCTCCTTCGTCTCGTTCGCCTTCGGCAACGTCCTGGTTGAGCGTGCTTGCGCTGGCAACAACTGCAACCGTGCCGTCACTGGTACTCGTGATGGTCTCGAGCCCTTGAGCGTCCGCTCTGCCGACTGCTCCAGCTTTCTGCTGACCACTGTCACCCCGGCTGCTACGTGAGTGTTTTATTCTTCATTTTTGAGAAGTGTCATCGTGTTGTCGACGCCTGTGTTCAGCTCTGGACTCGATTGGACCATCCACCGCATTGGCGTGGTCTGATTGGGCGAGAGCCGGTTTATAATTAGATTCTCACTTTCACTGGATATGAGATGTCTGTGAACGAGCAAAGCTGACACAACACTACAGCACCGTCACCGTCACCGTTGACGAGGAGCCCACCACCGCTGTTGTCAAGCGCGACTTCGCTCTTGAGATCCGCCAGGCTACTGAGGTCCCGACCGCCATCCCCACCTACGCCGCCGTCTGCTCCAGCGCTGAGAAGTACGCCTCTGCCTGCTCTTGCTTCGGTGTCACCGGCTCTGTCACCACCGCTCCTACTCCTACCGTCACTGTCACCACCACCATCGACTACTGCGAGGACCTGTAAACGGTGGATCGCGATGAGGGCTTGGGGAGTGAGTGAGATCATGGATTCTTAGTGGGGCTTGATTGGGTTGTTGGCATTATTGGCATTGTGTGATGGGATGTGGAGTGTGCATCGTCAATCAGGACCATCGGCTTATCACGTTTCGGGCGGTCATGTCTGTTATGGAGGTGGGATGAACGACTGTCGATCAATTGATGCAGCTTGTCAACGCTTGCGACGCCTTCGGATTTCTCTAATGTCCTATCAGGGACTGTTTCTGGACTGCATCAAGACAAATTCACATTCCTATCTCGGCTCACAGCTGCTGGGATGCCTCGCGATCAGAATCAGTTGCGGCCAAGGTTGCATAGAACGGCTTTTACGAATGGATCCGGGCACGATATCTAATTCGATGTAAATGGTAATAATTAAATAAAGACCTTGGGACGACTCAATCAATGCTTCGCTGTCAATTCTCGTTTTCGCCTGGCATTGTGCCATGATATGTGGAAATGTGATTTGAACCCTTGTTGTCACGTCGTCCTGAGAACCAACAAACCGTTGTATTCAGCCACCAATCTACTTCACTCAATGAGATATGCGTGCAAAAAAATCCTGGGCGGCGTACCGAAATTGATTACTCCTTTTCATTCCCGGCTCAATCAAATGACTTTCGGTTCGCTCGGCTCCTCACCCTGCTTCCGCCTCAACTTCTTCATGCCGCCCCAACACTTGCACCACTTCCACTTACGCAAAGCATTCAAGTTGTCTCTTTTAGAAACATCCCATCGCCTCGTATTGTTCAACGCAATAGCCTCGTCAATATCACCCGCCGATCTGAAACAATCAATTGTTCAAAGGATTTTGGTCTGATCGCTGCTAGGACCCTTTCGTTGAAACGAAACAACACATCCTGCAGCGCACGGTTGTTCTATATCTACCAGAGCCAACGGCACTGCGAATTGTTTCATGTTTCGAGCACCATACCCTCCGCTCAGACTACGTTACAACGTGAGAACCAGTCCCATTGCCTTTGGCTCATATTTTATTAGATGACGATACTGACCCGACCTTTCCACCGTTTAATTCCCAAACGGCAGTATGTCCGTCGAAAACGCTCATCGGACGCGTCAGCGGCGTCTCTCATCGACAACCTGCTTGAGCTCCCGAGGTGCGAACTGTTGATGTGGCTGTTGCTTGGTACTCGAGAGCCAGTGTCTTGAAGTAAGAGAGCTTCTTAGGTCGGCCGCTGTGTACTGACAGTACGTGTATCACGTCAGACATTTGTATCGGCCGCTCGCGAACGACAACCCTTCGAAGTCTAGTCATCCATGCTGCAATGCAACTGGTAGCTTTCCTGGTGTAATATTGCAAGTGGCGAGCCTGGCTATTGAATACCTAAGAGGGCACTGGTACCTGTGATGATTCCAAACAATTCCTTTTACGTTATATTTAGCGGAAGACACGATAGACGTTCCGTCCTCGTTAGAACATGAACGCCACAGGTCTGGTTCAATGCAGATGACTTGCTTCGACCATAGCATAGCCACAGCCTATTGTCTGTTGCTTTCCTTTTAAAAATGCTTGTGTGACTCATGATTTGTGTCATCGCGAGCCTTGCAGAACAGTTTGGTGCCTTATACTGTTCGATTGCAGAGCAGCTCGGGGAGACTTTTCAACTTAGCTCGAAGTCGCTTTCATGAAGATCTAGATGGAACTCTCCATTCCAGGGAAATGAACGGAGACCAAACGTGATAATCCTTTCGAGGTCTAATTCAGAGTATGATGGAACTGGTCACTAAGGTGTCATTTGCACGGGTAGGCCTTGAGAGAGTTCCATATTTGTGACGGACCGTAGAGCG